AGAAATGCTTAAAGATAATAAAAATTGGTAATTAACTTTTTCAGTCACCTACCTGTGGCACCATAACTAGCCTGTACATCCTAGTGTGATCAGACTGAGATTCCCTTTTTGCATTCCTTCAATTTTAAAGTTTTTCTTTCAATGTGGCCCCATTTGTGTATAAGAAGCTGGAAAACATATATTTATTTCAAGTACTTTTTTTGCCTGTGTCGATGTTATTCAGTCTTTGTGGAATTTGGACAGTAGTGATTTATCTACAAGGAACCATCCAACAACTCTTGAACCTCACAAAGATTCTGCTGCAGTTCAAAAAAAATAAAGCACTCGAAACACAAAAATACATATTTTGACAGAAAATGCAGTTAAAATATATTTAAATTTAAAAATGTATATCTCGCTCACTACAAACAGGTTTTTTTTAATAAAATGATTGATTCAGCTGTGTGATGAAAGATGGCGTTTGAAACAGAAAGGTTGCGGATGGTTTGAATTTTAAGGAAAGAAATCTTCATTGCAGTTTTGGCCACACACACACACACAAAAACTCCTTAATCAAGCACCCATCAAGTCACATCATGTACAGTAGTTCGGATTAGGAGGTTCTAGAAAATAACAGGAAAGCAAACATGCAGCCTAATGAGTTATGCAGGACAGTTGGCCAGAAGCAAACTCAGGAATGAAGCTGCAATGGAAGGCAGAAAAAGAAAACCAGTCCAAAAGTACCAAAGGACAGAAAATTTCTGGTGCCTGATTATGACAATCAGCATGAACATGAGATGAGTGTGATCTAATACATCATTAAAAAAATAGAAATATTTTAGCAATCCCATGAATTCTTTTCCTCTTTCTTTGAATTAAGTCTATTCAGTCCCTTGCATACTTGTCTCCATCAATGGACCACCCCCCCCCCCCTTTAAGCAAAGCAAAGTCTCCTTTGGGTAAACTTAAACTGCAGGTGACTTCCTGAACATTTCCATGTAGTGACTTGTTTACCGTTCTGTTTTTTTTTTTTTTTCAGGATGTTTCGTGTCCAAAATAGTTCAGAATTGCTTTTAGTAATGGTTAACATATTATTCTTTTTTATTATTATTAGTTTTATTCATTTATAACATAAAATGTGAAAATACAAAAGCAAATAGCAGGGGACAACAGTAGAAAAAGGGAAAACAAAAAACGGTGTGAAGAAAGGGAGGGGAAGAAACAAAAGGCATTGATTTCCGGCTCTCTCTGTTGCAGTAAAATCAAACATTAAAATCAAATCTCAACTTTTTACATTTACATTCAAGCCCCTCCTTTCAACCCTGAAGCTTACTAGGGGATTTAGAGCAAGTCATTTTCTCTCAATGGCCAACTAAACTCACAGGATTACTGCTTTGGGAAGAAAATGAGATCAGATCTCATCTCTTTCCTCTCCTCCTCCTCCTCCTCTCTCTCTCTCTCTCTCTCTCTCTCTCTCTCTCTCTCTCTCTCTCTCTCTCTCTCTCTCTCTCTCTCTCTCACACACACACACACACACACACACACACAGAGAGAGTTTCTAGAGGAAAAAGATATATAAATGCAATACTGTACACATGTGCATATTAATGTTGTGAAAAAAATAGATCACCTGTGTTCCACAAAAAAAGCATAGCAAATTATAGCCTTAAAAGAAAATTCAAAAATACATATTTATACAATGCCAGTGTTGACAAAAAGCATGCCAGCTTTTGAGTTCACCAAGATACTTAAATACAACACATATCGAATGGCACATGCCACATGTTTGTGGTTCAAGCTCCATAAACCTTGCAACATAGTCAGTGATTATGAGAGTTGTAATCCCAACATCTTGAGGGCATAGCATGACTGTACCGGCTGGATCTGATGGACCACAAGTTCCAAGTTAATCATTATACAACTGTATTCAGGCTCAAGGTGACTTGGCTAAAGTGATATTAGCCCCTTCCTCCCACCCAAAAGAGAAATCAAAACAAATAAGTGGAGGTAAGAAAAAAAATAAAATTTGGTTCAATTTAAATGCAATTAAAAATAAATTAAATCATTATGGGCTTAAGATACGGATTAAATATGGCAATGCATCCTCCCATTACAATGCCACAGATTAAATAGAACCAAAATCAAAACCAGATTTTTCTACTTAATGTGCTCAACTCTGCCTTGAACCCACAGCTGCTATGACAATTTAATTTCCCATCATATGCTACATTTCTAGGCTTCCAGGCCTGTGAGTTATAGAGGCACCTGGATCCATCATAATGAAGAAATAATTGAGCCTTCAGTAAAAACATCCATTATGTTTAATGAATGTGCCATAATGGTTTGACAGGTGGTATGATACAGACCAGTAAAGGTGAGATCCTCCTAGGGACAAAGATGAAAATAAGCCCCTTCCTATGTTCCTGGGCCCGCAATAATTAGTTCTCAATTGTCACAGGTGAAGTTAAATTCCCATTTGTGTCCAAGAGCTAGCTGTTTGGTGATGAAGGGGGAGAACTGAACGTATCACATTCATTGCTCTTTGACTGGATTCACTTCATAATTATTCTTCTACCAATGAGTAATTGCCAACGCTATGGAAGACAAAATAGTGGGGAAAAATCAGAACACAGGCTTTAGTAACAAGCAGATTTTGTAAATACCTCTTCCAGCCTTGTCTCTGAAATAAATAATAGATATTAACACTACGGCTTAGTGGTTTTAGAACTGGATCCCAATTGGAAGAGTTGCTGGAGAGCTCCTTCCTGTTGAGAGACCTTGATGGAGAGAATAGCAATGTTCTAAGCAGGTGCAACTATTCATTCATTTTGGCTTCCAAGAACAACAAATGACATCAGATTGGGGGCCATATGAATGAAGACTGAAGCCAACTGCCTAGCCAAGCTAGGGGTGCAAGCCAGTAAAAGTAAATTAATTGAGCCAAAAATACTCAATGTAGACACAAACTGTGATATTATCTCTTCAATTATAGCCTCTTGGTTCTTTTTCATTGCTGCTAAATCTGCCTTGAGACAGTATTTCTATAATACATTTCAACCAAACAAATTCACAACAAATCAGTATGATAGTGGGAAAGACTGACTTCTGATTTTTGACCTTCTAGTCTAAAAGGCATGTAGAAACATTTTGTAGGAGTTACTGCTCCCAAGCTGTCTTCAGAGGTAGACCCTTCTTCAATACATTGCAGTAATTCATTCCAGAGATGACAAAATTGTGCAATAGGAAAGGAAGGACCTCTCTCCACAACTGACATACCATCTGAACTCAGAAAAAGACCTTCATTCTCCCAGTCACCTACTTACCTAGCAATAGCTGTGACTTTTGGATAACCACAAGACGTGGACCTGCTCCTTCAAGAATGATCTTATTTCATCTAAAGACATGACGGAAATAGATGAAGAACCAGATTATTTTCTGGACAAACAGCACTTCTATCTTGTTGAGATTCAGTTTCAGTTTGTTTGTCCCCGTCTATATATCCTCCAGGTACAAGGTCCAGGTTGATGGAGTTCCCAGAATTCCCTACCCACCATGCTATATTGGGAATTCTAGGAGTTGAAGCCTACCTATCTTAAAGTTGCTGAGTTTGAAAAACACTACACTACACTACACAGTGCAACCTGGAATAGAGATTTGTCTGACTATCATCAACATACTTCTAATGTTTGAAATATAATTTATATCTTTATATATTGTTGTACTGCCCATTTTACAAAAATGCATGGTTAAGTGTTATATTCCCCTTATTACAGTAATTACATTGAATCATTCAGATTTATTTTATATAGTTTTTACCTGATTAATATGACTCAACTACTTTGCAGGTGGCCAAATTTTATTTTATTGTTTGTAAAACCTGCTGTATTCATAATTATTTAGTTAATGTTGTTTATTCTTATCTTGGTCCATTTTGTAAGTTTTAATTTCTGTCTGTCGCTGATGGATTGATTGGATCTAAACATTTCATTTCTTCTAGGACACTCTGCAATTGTAGCCCCACAATTTTCTACACAGCCTTTTCCTAAACAGGTAAATTGGAGATTGATCAATTATGGATGTAATCAGGGAGGACCTTTCAACAGGGGATATACCATCACCCGTAAAGGAGAATATTTGTAGCTCAGGGTTGAAATGAGGGGTCCTTGGTCTGTCTGAGCTTGGTTGCTTTCTTGCAGACATTTTATTACCAAAACTAGGTACATCATCAGTGCTAGTCAGTGATGCAAAAACCATCTGCAAGAAAACAACCAAGCTCAGACAGCACCAAGGACCACTCACACATTTGCCTCTTTTAAGTTGCTAGGGCCACTCCCAGAACCATCACTCATTCCTCCACCAGCTTCCTATAGGAATTAGTGGGGCTTAAGTCCATTCTGTCTGTTCCAGGGCTCACCTAAGCCACTGTTCCAAATTCAATGTAAGCAAACAGAACTAAGCCTGGTCATTTGAATATCCAGCTGTAACTATTGTAGGAAATTACATGAACCTTAAACATAGATTATCAGTGTAGAATTGATTTGACACTGAGAATCTATGTTTAAGGTTCATGGAAACCATTTAGAGAGGACTGTAAAGCACTGTAAAGCTGTATATAAGTCTAAGTGCTTTATAGCCCTCTCTAAGTGGTTTACAGAGTCAGCATATTGCCCCCAACTGTCTGGGTCCTCATTTTACCAACCTCGGAAGGATGGAAGTCTGAGTCAACCTTGAGCCAACCAGAATCGAACTCCTGGAGTGAGCAGAGTTAGCCTGCAGTACTGCATTCCAACCACTGCACTATCATGGCTCATCATACCTGGAGTCTTTCATGTAACTCAGCATTTCTCTATGTGGGCAACTTTCAGATGGGTGGACTCCAGCTCCCAGGCCGCTTTCTATATTGGGAATTCTGGGAATTGCAGTCCATCTGAGTTGCCAGGACTGAGAAATGCTCAAAAAACAAAAGTGTAACCACCTTTTCTCTTTCGGCTCAGCTTTCTCCAAGCAATTGTTCTCTTGAGTTTTTTTTTTTTTCATTTCTTAAAACCATGGGGACATACTGGCTAGGAACTTCAGGAACTTACACCCAATATCTCTGGAAGGCAAAATTATAAAGAAAGCTGCTGCTCTAGTCCTAGAAGAGAGGTTGGCAACAGCACAAGAGTTAGCAAAGAAAGTTTACTGGGAAGCGGATAGTGAAGGAAGAAGAGAAAAGGAATGAATGTTGTTTTCCCAAATTCAAAGCTACCTCTTGAGGAAGAAACGAAATTCACTTGAAAATAAGCAAATAGATTTTATTTGCAGAAGCAATTAATATTCCCAACAAGATAAAAACAAAGTGCATCTGGACAACAAGTGTCACCTTCCATTTCCAATATGTAGAGAAAGGATGCAGCAGCTGCTTCAAAGAGTTTATAATATTATGTCTCTCAGCTGATTGATTAGCAGTGTCCACACTGTCCTGTTATCGTTAAAGCTGGGATTGATGATGTTCTTAAAAGCAAAATCAGTGAGCGGAAGGTGCCTGTTTATTAGTGCTTCAAAAAGTATAATATGCATTTCAAATCTCAGTGAAATGCTCCGTCTCTTGTCCTAGCTAAAAACGCTAGGACACATTGAACTGAGACTTCTGTTTGGCTCAATTTAGAATAAATTGAGGTCTGCATAGAAAAGTGGAGCCAAATTTATTTCTTTTCAATTTGATATGAAGTAGGCTAATTTGTGATGCAATGTGATGTTAATTTATACAACAAAAACTCAGTTCAATTTATAATTCTTGACATAAAAGTTCCTTTGCCCATATTTATACTAACTCTATGTCACAGATCTCTGATAATTAGGCATGCTTTAGTTTTAAACTACATATTAGATTATAGCAATTGTATGCAAGCAAGTAGGTGATATGAGTGCGTTAATTCTATGCTCCCTAAATCACTTTCTACATTCACAAGATTTTGGGTTAACTTTGGCCCAGCCTCCGATGATTATGATATTATTACTGAGAATTAATTCAAAGAGGCTCAATAATAACTCACAAGAAAAAAAAAAGTATGTTATAATACAGAGTTCCCCAAGCTTTTTAGCTTTGTAGACCAGCCAGGGGAAGGGGGGGGGGAGAGAGGGGATGATTCACATGAGTGGTGGGCAAGCATGCATGTGTGGGCTCAGCTCCATTTGTGCAAGCAGCTGACATGCATGCCCACAGTTCACGCAAATGGAGTGCAAGTGCCTACTGCTCATGCAAGTGTCGATCCCCACACATGCAAGAGCTTGCCTGCCACGTCCGTGGCCCAGTTCCAAAGGGCTCAAGACCCAGTAGTGGGGGTTGGGGATTCCTGTTATAATAAATTATGGTAGAACATTCAAAATAAATCAACTTACTTTCCAACAATATAATGGAAAATCTAACAAATGTAACAAAAAGATAAAGAAAGCAAATAAATAAAATTATATAACAAAAATAAATTGATTAATGATGATTGGTCGTTCCCTAAAAGTCCTCCAGAACAATCCTGCTTTTACTTATTTCTAAAAGGCCATCACTGAAACTGCTGGTCTAGCTTCCAGGGCAGAGCTGTTCCAGAGAATTGGCATGCTGATAGAAAAATTGCTTTCAGTTTCAGGCTCCCTTAGGCCTCAAACTTAGGGCATCGGCAGCAGTTTTTCCAGAGAGAACCTCCACAGATGGATTGATTCTGGTTGGAGAAGTTCATCCTGCAGATTATCTTAATGCCAAGAAATAATAATTCTTTAAGTCAAAATTAGTATGTTGAACTGCACTTACAAACATATTACAGTAGTAAGCAGTTTAGGGTCATAATTATGGTCATAAGTATCAGTCATCAGCATCAAGGTTGCTGGATTTTGGATCATCTGATACCAAGTAGACTTTAAAGGCAGCCCCACACAGAAAATAGTGCAGAGGTTCTACCAGATGGTGATAAAAGCATAAGTGGCCAGATTTTCCTACTCAAGGAATGGCCACAACTGGAATACTAAACTGAACTATACGAAGGCACTCCACGGTCATACAGGTAGTCCTGAGAAATAACATTCCATTTAAAAATGGTTCAAAGTTATGAGCAACACATCAAAACTACATAAAGACTCAGTCTACAGTCTAGCCTTTAAGTTCTAGCTGAGGTTTTACAAGTAGTCAGATGTACAACTAAGTTTGCAAAGCATTCTCCATTTTGTTGTACAGCTAACATTTCAAGGTGAAGTCACAGAAAGATTTTCTCTTTTTGTTTGCTTGGTTCCTTATTGTACAGCAGGGTTCTTCAAATTTGGCCCTTTTATGCCTGGCTGAGGAATTCTGGGAGTTGAAGTCCACAAGTCATAAAAGGGCCAAGTTTGAAGAACTCTGCTCTACAGCCTGGAGTCAAGGTAAGATTTTTAAAATGGATAAGGATTGGAAAGCAGAGGGGGAGATTTACTGTTGGCCACTAAGATTTGATATCAAGTGAAGTCCATTGTATGGAGATCTAGAAAATTGAGATTTCATTATAATACTCAATAATTGTGATGATTGTAGATTAGATTTGAATTCTGGGAAGTTTGAAAACATCTCAGAAGGCAGTGGCAAACCGATTCTGTACCTCTGCCAAGAAAACTAAAACTAAATGAAGCCTAAAGGTTGAGAGAGGAAGAAGGAAAAATCCATGTATAATTAGGTAAGAAGGACATCTAGTGGTCATTTTCTGATATTGCATGAGATTACAAGTTGCTATCAACCTAAAGCCACCAAGAGCATATTGGTTTAGTTGAAGCACAGTGTTTAAAAACAATTTTTAAACCAATGTATATCCTAAATTATCACATAAAGAAAGTAAAGATCACCCAGGTTGGATTATTTTTGTATATTACTTTAAATTGGGAAACATAGAGATATTCTGATGATGCCTCATGTCACTTTGAGTTTTCTGCTCACAGATAATTAGAAATAGGAAGGAGGGTGCTACAAGCAAGGCCATACTTATTCTAAAGTAAGACACTTATTTAAAATAACCTAAATTCTTCATCAGAAAAAACGAATTCTGCAACCTTTATAAATTATTTTATGATTTGCAAAATACATTGCAAAGAGGGGCGTTTCCAAGTTGCGAGGACTGAGCATGGCTAGACTAGAGAAGGACCAGAGATGACATAAAACCAGTGTTCCAATATTTGAGGGGCTGTCACAGCGAGAAGGGGGACAACCTATTTTCAAAAATACCCGAAGGTCAGACAAGAAACAATAGATGGGAACTGATCAAGGAGAGATTAAACCTAGAAATAAGGAAACATTTTCTGACCGTGAGAACAATCCATCATTAGAAGAGCTTGCCTTCAGAAGTTGCGGGTGCCTCATCCCTGGAGGCTTTCAAGAAGAGACTGGACAGCCACTTCTAGGCAGAGGTACAAAACTAAGGTGACTCATAGGAAACAAGATATGCATTACTGAAGCAGACAAAAAAAATCTATCAAATCCAGCATTTTTTGTGGCTTTGAGAAGCCCATGGGCAGAAGCCAAGCAAAATAATCTTGTTTTTCGAAAACTAGTATTAAAGGGCATTTGGCCACAATACTGTACAAGTATAATGTTACAAGACAGATTTATGGGGGTAAAGGTCTCATTCTATTTTATTTCTGCAAATTCCAATGTTTCCCTATGGATTTTATAACTGTGTTTTGTCTTTCTCTATTTGTCTCTCACAATTTAGATTATATAACTCACGTTCTAGCACCCACTTTTTTCTATACTATGCATAGTTCTCTATCAGTTACACATGACCTGAGCATCTTGTAGCCTGATTGCTGCACTGGTTGCTGGTTTTCTTGGTGCAATTCAAGGTGCTAAAGGGTCTTGTTACTTGAGGGACTGCCAGTATCTGCCCAGCCAATTTGATGCTGGGGTGTTCCAATTCCTTTAAAAACAATGTCATCTTTTGGGATCTCCAGAGGATGCCTTCTCTATGGCAGCAGCTACACTCTGGAATGAGGTTTCTCCTGAGATCCAGCTGGCCCCTATTCTGCCATTGTTTAGAAGAGCCATGAAGATTTGGCTCTTCATCCAGGCCTGGGGGGGGGGGGGGGAGAGACCTCCTGCTCACCATGCTTGCACCTTTTATCCTTTTTATGTTTTATTTATTTTATTATAATTTGTTTGATTTTTGTGAGAAACCCAATCACTGAAGATTGGGTGGTATACAAATTTAATATGTTGCTATTGTTATGTCCCCTTGTGTCCATTTTTCTGAGGTAAAATGTCCCAAACTTTCCATCATAAGGAAGTTGTTACTGCCTCTTGAGCATTTGGTTTTTTATTTTGTACTTTTTGTGGTGCAGAAACTAAAACTATATACAGTATTCCAGTTGTGGCTGTGTAATAATTTACATGAAGACATTTACAATGCTTACAGTTTCCTTTTCTCTTCTTTTCTTAACAATTCCTAAAGAAGAAATTCCTCCTTATTTTTAGACCACACAAGTGCCATGTGAATGCCAAAGTACAACTATGTTCTCATTATGTCCATCATGACAGAAATTTAAAATGTGTGGATCCCAACTTCAAAGTAATAGGGATATTTATTTTTATTCATTCATTTAATTTAGAAACTATCCTACTCCAACTGATTTGGATAGTTCACAATATAAAACAAAAAAACTTAAAAAAAATCTTCAAGATTCAAGACACCTGTGATGGGAGTGTCCTCCATGAATTCATCCAAGCCCTTTAAAAGCCATTCAAATTAGTGTCCATTACTACATTCAGGGTAATGAATTCCAGCAATTAATTATGCACTATTTGAAGAAATTGTTGTCTATTTAAAATTTCTTCCACCTTATTGGATGACCTCTTGGCCTAGTATCTTAAGAGGGAGGGTGGGGGAAATCCCAACAATTGATGAAGTAGAGTAGGAATGATTGAACAATTAGAGAACGATTAAACTTCAATCCCATCTATTTTCACATCCTCACCATTTTTCTAAGCTAAAAAGTTCCAAAAGAACTGAAAGGAAGATGTTCAAACCCCAATCATTTTGGTTACCTACTTCTGTGTTTTTTCTAGCTTTTCACTACTGAAATCTCCAATGTTATTTTCTTGAGCTGAACTCTATGCTGAGAGTGCCATTGCAGTAAGTTTTATAAGCACAGAAATATGCAACATTTAGTTATTAAAGATATTTCCCACCTTACAGCAAAGAATAGTGGTAACAGAGTAGCATTCCCCAACCTACTGTAATTCAGTACAATTTATGTCATCAACTAGCTGCCTAATCCATTAGGGAAGATTATAAGTAGTACCAATAGAAGAGAATATTTCTAGCTCATGATCAGTAGTGCAGTAATGATTTTACCTAGTTTGGTAATGAAATGTCTGCGAGAAAACAATCAAGGTCAGAGAGCACCAAGGATCCTACAATTACAGATAGTTTTTCACTTATAACTGTATTGTAAACTGCCCATTACAGTTATAAATCATGAAGGTTGAGGGTCATCATGTGCTCAGACCTGATTTTATGACATTTGCTACAGTCGTAAAGTGAACACCAAGGTCATTAAGTGAATTCCATGGTCACTAATCAAATTAATTGTTCACTGTAGGCTGTTTTTGTCAAAAACTGGAAGTTTTTCAACAAAACATTGTAAACTGTGGTCAAATGACTATGGGACAGTGCAAATGGCCATAAATATGGGCCAGTTGTCAAATGGCCAAAATATGACCATAGGGGAGGGGTGGAGGCAGCCGTTGGAACTGAGTCATAGGTATCTTTTGGAGGGTCCGTCAAAACTTTGAATAGTTGCTAAGCAAATGATCATTTCCTCCTGATCAGGGGGTTGGACTAGAAGAACTCTAAGGTCCCTTCCAACTTTTTATAATTATTATGTTATATAATTATATAATATTATTATTATTATTTCAAGGATTATCTGTATAATAAAGGATCTCTAAATATATAAATGATCTTGGAATTTGGGAACACAAATTGTTGTCTCTCTTATCTTTCTTGCTGAAGTTGTCTAGAAGAATTGTACTTCATACAATTGTTGGTGCATTGCTAATAACTGGGCTACTGGGGTTCAGCAAACTGTTAAGAAAGGAAACAAAACAGCCACTGGGAATAAAAGAGAAATACATTAATAGAAAAGTGTGTTTATTATCTTTTAAACTTCCAAATGCAGAATACGGATTAGGAAACCCTGAAAATGCACCAATTCAATGTTACCTGCCAATGAGGAGGAAAAGGCAACATAGTGTATGGCTAAGACAGCTGAAATAGGCTATGATTCCGGAATGGCAGCATTTTCCAAATTCCTGCATCTCTCCTTTGAGAGTGAATACATATAAAAACCCATTATGGCGCTGGATTCTAACCCAATGATTCCTGAGTAAATTCCTTGAGATCCTCTGAATAAAAATATTCCATCCTTACACCTCAGGATGTACACTAGATTTTTCCAAATGCAAATTACATTTCAGACAAGGTTATTGTCAAAAATGTGTTCTGGAAAGAAGCAGTCTGAATATATTCTGGCCTGAAGAATATAATTACAGAGATAGGAAAAGCTGCATAAATATTATTATGAGTAATGGATTTTACTGTATCTAGATCACATATGGTCAACTGAAAGAAAACCTGATTCAGAATTGGGGCAAGAATGGAGGTGATTAAGCGTGTACTATGGCAGCCTACTACTTTAACGGACTCTCTGAAGATTCTGGTCCTCTAGTAACATAATCTACCAATGAGGGGGGGAAAATCAATATATTTGTTAGGCAGCAACCTCTTCTAGAGGTTAACATTTTGAAGAGTTTCAATGTTTGAGAAAACCCATTCTTCTATTCCTGCAATCCTCAGTATCAAGCATAATTTTGTTTGATCCAAATTATGTTATTCCCAAATTCCCTGATTCCACCCAATGTCAGTCATTTTTATCTCATTTCCCCACACTACTCACACAGATATAAAACTGAGCCAGTGATCTGAGGTTCTATGTCTTTCATCTGCCCTTGGCAGAAGTGGTGGATTCACGGGCCTCTCACTCCCACTTGCGTCCTTAAGTCTCATCTCCCATAATGGTCGCAAACTGCTATCTCGCAGGCCAATTTTTCCTGGATTTTGGCACATTCTGGGTTTTTAACATATTCCAAATTTTGATACCTCTGGGAGACAAACTTCTCCCACTTTCTCCCACATTTAAAAATCTCCAAAAATGGTGCAAAAAAATGGCAATTTGGGAGCATTATGGAGGTTTGAAAGGATGGGAACAGGAATGTTTTTCCTCTCACTTCTATTCTCCACTCTTAACCTTCCTCCAGAAGAAAGTACTTAAAAATGAGCTAAAATTAGTCTAAAAAGTGGGTTTTCCAAAGTTTAGGGATGGGGATAGAGGAGTTAAAGGCCTCCCATTCCCGCTCTCTTCCTTAAAAAAGCATAAAATCACAGACTGCAAATTCGCTCCATCATTTTCTGTTATAGGACAGGGGTATAATTTAAAAAATCATGAGGCATAGGTGCAGCAGTCTACCATTTCAAATCTTATCTATCCTGATTAGTTCCAGTACCACAAAATTTGAGGCATCTAAATCAAGGAAAATTATATCCAAATTTCTTTTTCTCCATTTGCAGCTTGATGGAATCCAATCTAAATGACATGTTCTATAGGAACTTTATACAAAATCAGACTTTCCTTTTACCATCCAGTTTTAGCAGTAAGTGGTCTTAGCATCCTGGCTGATACACTAAATGTATAAATACTGGGGGTGGGGTAGGGGTCTCTTTACTCCTAAACCCATTATGAATAAAATATTTTACCCAATTGGTCATTGTTTGGACTGTCTGGAAGGATATAATACAATTTTACAAATGTGTTCATACAGGTAGAGTAGAAGTCAACCAATGCAAATAGATTCTACTAGTTATGTTAACCTGTTTAAGAATTATCAATGGCCACAAGCCTCACTGGATATAAAAAAACTGCACATTCTGTGACAACCACTACCATCATAGTCATACTCTTGAATCCAAAGTAAAATGAGTCAAACTATCTCTGTCTCTGTTTCCTCAACCCAGGAGTGTTTTTCAGGCCCAGCAGCACACCAAGTGAAAATTTTGTTCAAATTTTCTTTAAGTTTCTGAAACTTTGCGAAAAAAAATATAAATCAATTCTACTAGGGGGCACTAAAACCCCGAATCTTCACAGATGTATTAAAGATCTAAATCTTTCACTTTCTATTGCTCACGAAATAGGACAGCTGCTGAACTGCCCTTAACAAAAATAAAATTAAAAAAATAGAAATGATCCCGCATTATAAAGAAAGAATATAAATTCATTTAGCTGCCAGTGGAAAGGAGCAAAGAGTTTCAACAATGCAGTAAAACCAAAAATAAATAAGCAATTAATTAAAATCATCCCAGTCCCTTCTCTGGAAGTCTTCTCTCCCTGGCCTGGAATCAAGCAAAGTTCCTTAAGTCCCCTGGATTATGCTCAGCCATCCGTGGCCAAAATGATGGAGGCCCCAAAAACCCCAACGTTCTGGCCAATCAACTTCATTTGATTCCAGAATTCAATTCTGCGAGACTCATGCCAGTAGCCAAGATTGCCATCAATGAAGAGGATGACCAGAGGGAGAATTACCGACAGGATCTGAGCAGCTGTGGTGATGTAATAACCAGATAGAAAGGAGAGAGCAAGGACACCGTAGAGAACGAAGAGAAGCTGTAAAAGGATCTCCCCACCCAGGACACCACCAAGATAGGCCAGGCGGTCTTCTTTGCTGTGCTGAAGAGAGTAGGCCTGAAAAGAACAAATTGGAATGTTGGTTTACAGCAAACTTTAACCTAACACTTCTGTAAGGTGTGCCAATTGGGAGACAGATGTAAACTTCTATGTAATTTCTCTCTCTCCAGTCACTGCTATGTTGGACTATTAGGAAAGCCACACTGGATTTATTAAGCTCCAAGTGGGACATGAATGTATCTCTTTGTTGTTTGCATCAGATTGTTTTTTCAGGGTCAGACCTGTTCATTATTTTTTTGGGCTTTTTTCCTATAGTTGGTTGACTACATATTTCAAGATATATACTCATAAGTCTGGAATAATGGATCCTGCTCAATTTCAACTGAAGAAAATTTTGAACAGAAACTACAGAAACAATTTTGGAAATTATTTATTCTTTATTTATAATTTTGGAAATTAATTATTTAGTCCTTTATTCTAGAAGCTTATTTATTCTCATCTTAGCAACGTAGAATGTAGGATCTCAAAAAATAGGAGGAGATTCCTAGCCTCCCATCCGAAAGTTTCCAACAATAATCTTACTCATCTATCTCCTTATCCACTGTCCTTTTGGCTGTCCTCCATTCTGCCACCCTGCACCCCTCCCCACCCACTGCTTTCTCCCACTGCTGACCAGATAACTAGACAAGGCACCTGCTGGCCTTCACAACACTTTGCATCCTGCACTCCACACATACTCATCCCTAGATGACCTTTGCTGTTCCTCCCGCTATTAGTCCTATACAATAGTTTTGTGAGGCCTCCATAGCAAAAGTAAGCTGGGGAGGCAGCAGTAGATGATGACAGAAGGTAAGGCAGCCAAAAAGGCAGATATGGGGGAAGGGGGTAGAATAGTTGGGTTAAAGCAAGACAAGTATGACAGGGTGGCAGAGCCCCATCTGCAGTTTGCCAGACCCAGCTGGGGAGGAAGCAGCGGGACAAAGCCGGCAATTTGTGGAGGGCAGGAGAAGCATGAGATCCTTGCTAACAGCATTGCAGTTGCCATCTAACAACCGCAACTGGGACTATCAGAATTGCCATTGCTAAGCTGTACAGTCATGTTTCAATTAGTGACTATTTCGCTTAGTGATGGAAATTCTGATCTCAATAAGGATCATTAAACAAGGACTACCCATATGCAAATAATTCTCCCTGCTCTGTGGCTCTGTATGAAGTTTGTGGAATTCTTAGTGCTCTCTGAGCTTAGTTGTTGCTTAGCAGATGTTTTGTTACTTGCACTGATGATATTACTTAACTGGGAAATGAAATATCTGCAAACAAATAATCAAAATAATCAACCTCAGAGAACTCCAAAAACTCCACAATTCAACCCTGAGCTATGAATGTTCTCTTCTACTGGAATATAAAAGCTCTTAACTTCTCTGTATGTCCCTCTACATTTACACATGAGTACTTGTGAGACAGTTCACCATCTGCAAGGACTGCTGATTTCTGATTTGATCCCTGACTTATGGTGCATGCTATATGTTCACTGTCTATCTCATTATTATTTTTTAATCCCATAAGTGAGAGGATGGAACAGAAAGAGAAGGACGATTCAGACCTTTTTCATGTACATACCACACAGATGAGATAGATTCCAATGAAAACTTGCCCCGTAGATTGCAATGATCTGTTCCGTGGTTTCTGGCGGTAGATCTCACCTGCACCACTTGCCAAGATCAGAAGTCCACCTATTATGGCTATTGTTCGTGAATACATTCTCACCTGTGCCAGGCAAAGTAAACAAAATATGCCAATTAATAAAAACAGAAATGCCTATTCTCTCTCAATAGATAGATAGATAGATAGATAGATAGATAGATAGATAGATAGATAGATAGATAGATAAAAAAGGCGTTCACCAGGAGATAAAAACAATACAGTTTTAATAGATAAAACCAAGCTTTCAATGGCTAGGAATCTGCCATCATCGTCAGGGTACAAACCAACTGGTAAGGAAACTTGCTTATGAGTACAGCCACCCCCGCATTCTGCGCATGGACCTCGTAACAGGTCCCAGCTGATTGGTTCTAACTTCACTTTCAGTATTTGATGACTCTTTCTTACGATCCCTACTTACATCTGCATGATCGCCCCTCTCCCCACCCCTTTTAGTTCTTGAGCCGGGAAGGCAGTGTGTATTTCCCAGAGTTAAAGTGTCCTCCTCGTTACTGAGCTGGCCCCTCCTCCTGTGTTTTCCGGGGCATTTCTCTCTTTCACTCTTCCAGCTCACACTTATTTGTGCATTTATCACCATTCTTCATACCGAGGGTTTCACTTTGGTCCTCATTTTTCAGTGCATCTACTCTTATCGTCCCTCCAGCACCCTCACAGTCCTCATGATTAACCCCCTCCGTGCTTTTATTTCCCCCCACTGCTCCCAGTGTGTCATCTAATTGAGTCCAAGATCCGCCTTGTTTCATTATTGTAAGTGCTCTCCGGAGTATTTGAGTTAATTTAGTATGTGCTTGATATGCGGGGGTGGCTGTACTCATAAGCAAGTTTCCTTACCGGTTGGTTTGTACCCTGACGATGATGGCAGATTCCTAGCCATTGAAAGCTTGGTTTTATCTATTAAAACTATATTGTTTTTAATCTCCTGGTGAACGCCTTTTTTATCACTATGTATATACCCAGGAATCATTACTCTTCTATTTTTAACGTGTATATATATATATATATATATATACACACACACACACACATACACATATACACACATACTATATATATATATATATATATATATATATATATATATATATATATATATATATTTACCTTGAATGAACACCCTGTCAGCCCAGATATGGGAGAAAGAAATCTTCTTTCTTTTCTTTTCTTTACCATTCTATACCATTCTCTCTTTATTCTTTGTTAGCAAAACCTATATATATATATATATATATATATATATATATATATATATATATATATATATATACACATACTATATATATATAGTAAGAGCTATAAGAAAGAATCACTGAAGGCTGTAAGTGAAGCAAGGATTAGTCAGCTTGGACCTGTTACAAGGTCCATGCGTAGAGTTTAGGCGTGGCTATGCTTATAAGCAGGTTTCCTCACTAGCTAGGAAATGGCAGGTGCTAGCCATTGAAAGCTAGATGGATGTAAGTAAGAGTTAAAAGAAAGAATCACTGAAGGCTGTAAGTGAAGTAAGGATTAGTTGGCTTGGACCTGTTACAAGGTCCATGCGTAGAGTTTAGGTGTGGCTATGCTTATAAGCAGGTTTCCTCACTAGCTGGCTTGTATCCTGAGGATGATGGCAGATGTTAGCCATTGAAAGCTTGATTTTATTTATTAAAACCTTGGTGTTTTATTTCCTGGTGATCGCTTCCTTTTTTACTGAAATGTATGTATCCACGAATCGCTATTCTTCAATTTTTAATGTAATTTTAATACACACACACACACACACACACACACACACACACACATATATCTGAAGAAATAACTTTATCTGATTTTGTACTGATAATTTTCTTTGAGTGGCTGCCTAAATTTGGGCACCCAAATTGTAGTTTATATATTTGTCATCCCTTCTTTTCACAACATAGGGATAATTTTCCATTAATCATACTTCATTATGCTCAACCAAAAATATAGCTATCAGGTTTAAATATATAAGGATTTGAACATAAAGGGAAATGACAATAAGCAAAAAGTGATAGAAGAAGAATTTAGGCATACTGCATGTTAAATCAAGTTCTTCATGTTTGATCAACATCTGATAATGGAAGACACAAAATAAAAAATAATCATGAAGCTGAAAGCAATTAATCAATATTTAACTGATAAATATAATAACAGTCAGTACTGTTTCTGTAGAGCCTCAGGGTAGGAAACAATCATATACATTTATTGATTGATTTAATTCAATTTGGACACAACCTAACTCCAACTGCTTGGACAGTTCACAAATAATAACATAAAAACCACTAAAACAAGAAGATAGCATCTGGGAACAAAAACAAACAGAAAATAGAAGTAGCAAACATGCCCAAGAGGCCCCATCTGTCTTACATCAAGGTCTAGGAGAACAACCAAGTCTTCAAGGTTTTACAGAACACTGGCAGGATGACAACCATGTGGTTTTTAGGCAGGGTCTTATTCAAAAGGGCAGGCACAGCATCAGAGATGGTATCTGTACTGAGTTCAAACTGACATTGTTTAATGAAGGGATGCAGAGCACACCAACTCTGCTAGCATGTACCAGCCAGGCAGAATCTATGGGAGACAAGGTCTTTCATGTGATTGGCCCTTATTACATGTAGGGTATTTTGGTAATAATCAGCACCTTGAATCATACTAGGAAGCATATTGGCAACCAGTGCAGCTGGTGCAGCAGAAATGTCACATGGATACATTAAGGCACACCCATTACTGCCCAAAATGTTCTATTCTGGACAAGCTGAAGATCAAATGGTTTTCAAGGATAGCCTCATGTAGAGTAGTAGCTTAACCTTGAGGTTGTTGTCTGAAGGATTTCCCAATCTAGGAAAGTGTACAACTGATGTATCAGAGGAGCTGAGGAAAGCCCCCCAGGGCCACAGCTGCTGCCTGCTCTTCAAGAAGTGTTTATCCAAGAAATTTCCAGATTGCACATACTCTTGAACAGGAAAGTGCCCCCCTATCCAGTAAGAGTATGCATGGACAGTCCTAGGACTTTCCCCAACCTTTCCAGTTTGGCAGCCTGGCACGGGAGGGAGGCGAGAAAGGTTGATGGTTTTTGTGTGAGGTGCAGGCGCACACAGCTTTTTTTCTGTAAAGTGAAGCTGTGAGCACCCACCACTCACATGGCCCAGTTGCAAATAGGCCACAGCTTGATAGTGGGCCATGGCCCATAGATTGGGAACCCCTGCTCTAATATCTCTAATATCCATAGGCTTGATAGAATCAGAATCAGAATAGAGCTGGAAGAGACCTTGGAGGACTTCTAGTCGAGCCCCCTGCTCAAGCAGGAGACCGTATACCATTTCAGACAAGTGGCTATCAAGTCTCTTCTTAAAAACCTCCAAGGATGAAGCACCCACAATGTTTGAAGGCAAGCTGTTCCACTGGTTAATTGTTCTCATTGTTGCTTCTCTTCCTGATTAATTTCCATCCATTGTTTCTTGTTTTGCCTTCTGGTGCTTTGGAAAATAAATTGACCCCCTCCTCCTTGTGGTCACCTTTCAAACACTGGAATACTGCTATCACATTCCCTCCTAGTCCTTTTCTCTAGACTGGCCAAACCCAAATCCTGCATCCTTTCTTCATATGTTTTAGTCTCCAGGCCTTTGATCATTGATTAAATTGAGTCATAGTCAGTTCTGGACTCAATAGGGCGAGATCCTTAAGCTGCCAAATATTATCAGAGGAAAACTTATATGTTCATTTTTTTCACTGACTGATAGGGAGTGGTAATCCAATTTGAGATGTTTTCACCTCTATAAAATGAAAAATCATTCCAGCATAAAATATATGCTATCTGTCTCTATCTAGGCATCTATCGAATTCAGAAACCACCAATCTTACTTACAGAGCAACTACACAGATATATTTTAGAAGATCCTCTTTTGCTAACACTGTAAGGTGCTAGACATAAAACATCAGAATCTAATTAAAGGAAAAATGCTAGTATAGACACACCATTCAACTTGAGTCCAAGTTAATTTTGTGATAAAGCAGATCTATGAGCAGATTTTGAATGCCAAAAATGGAGCAGGTAATTTTTTCACCTTCAGCCAGTCTCCATAATGTGCATAGCCTCCAACATATGCTGCGTAGGTGCTGATAGCCAACTGGAGAGCAGCTCCCAGAGCAAACCATCGGCGTTTCACACCAAAGGACATAAAGCTGGCACACAAAACTGCTGCACCCATGTCAAAGTAGAGAAATGGGACAGGGATGTCTGGTTTCCTATATAAGGAAATAAAAGTAAAAAATTATTCCATGAAAACTGAAAGAAATGAACGTGGCACAAGAGACAGTGGTACACACATACACGCACAACTTGGCCTTAATTTCCAAAGAATACAACCCCACTTGGAATTGACAACATTTCTGTACTTTTTTCTTAAAAGCTAAAAGCTTTTGAAAACTACAGTTCTGGAAATTCAGCATTAAGCCTTGGAGAGCACAGGCAGTTACAAAGGTTAAGAAAACGGGATTTTATAAAGGACAGAATTTGATCAAATATTGTTAAAAACAGATGAAAACCTGATTAAGAAACTCTATAGATTTCTGCTAAAGTTAAAGATGGAAAAAGAACAAGTAAAAGAAACAATGATATCATGGGCAAAAAGCTTTGGGCATTCTATAGATTTGGAAGACTGGCAAAAATTATGGGATAGAAATATTAAATTGAGTAAAGCAGTCTCATATAAAGAAAATTTGTATAAAATGTTTTATAGATGGCATATGACACCAGTAAGATTAGCAAAAATGTTTAAAAATACTTCGAATAATTGCTGGAAATGTAAACAAAGGCCAGGTACTTACTATCATATCTGGTGGACATGCCCTAAAGCAAAAATATTTTGGGTTAAGATACATACATGGTTGGAAAAGATGACTAAAAAACAGATAGAATTCAAACCAGAACTGGTTTTTTTAGGAATATTAGGACTTAATTATGAGGAGAATGAATATTTAATATTGCATGTATTGACAGCAGCGAGAATAGTATTTGCCCAATACTGGAAAAATAAAAACTTACCAACTGAAGAGGTTTTAATTAACAAAATCAATTTAATTCAATTTATTTTAGAATATGGGATAACTTTTACCAACGGTTAGGAAAACGAACTAGTGAGAAACGAATGTGATATGTTATTTTGAATATATACTAGTAAGAAGAATGATATGCATTGATTAATTAATATTGTTTATGATTATTGTTTGTTATACTTACTACAGTTATCTATTACTATACCAACTATTGTTAGCTGAACATATGTACCCGGACAATAGTCTGTTTGCTAAATATTGAAAATGTTACTGGGGGAATAATCCCAATGTTGATCTCAACCCTGTCCTAATCCCAATCCTGATCCCATCCCATCCCTAACCCCAACCCCTAATCCTAACCCTAATCCTAATACGACCCTATTTTATCCCTAACCCTATAAAACTCAATAAAACTTTTTTTAAAAAAAGAAATTCATTATTAAAAACTACTACCATGAAACCCTTGACATGAACTTTAAGAAGAAAATAATATTCTAACCATGAGCTGAGCGTTTCTGAACCACATACCTCATCTTTCTTTTACATAACTTTTATTTGATATTATTTTATCAACATTTTATCATTTTTTGCTTTCTTTTCAATTTTATTTCATATTCCTCTGTAATTCAATGAAATACTGTTAAGAGATGCATACATACTGCTCACAAAAATAAAGGGAACACAAATGTATAGGATCCTACACGTTTGTGTTCCCTCTATTTTTTTGAGCAGTATATTTAGCAGTATATTTCGGGAGCTACTTAATTGTTAAGGATGCCTCATGTAGGCATATAAACAAGTGCAGGTGTGATCACCTGTGGCAACCAGAAATCATCTCTAAGCAACCTGACATAAAGAACTTTGGAAGTACAAGAAACAAAGTGCTCTTTTTCCCTTCTGACTACCAGATATAAGTCGAAGAATTTATATTTATTTTTGTTTATATTGCTTCGCATTTCACCTATTCTCACAAGTTCTAGACAGCTGAAGTACAGGTAACCAGTTTTTGTAAGTCAATCTGCAAGGCTACCATGAAAGACAGAAGATTACAATGAGCAAGGCATTAATAATCTATTCAAAACAATAGTCTACCCATCCCCCCCAAAAGAGAGTTGGCAGGAAATTTACTATAAAGCTGAGAGAACAAAGTACCCTTCAGATGACAGTTAACATATAACAAAAGTAGTAATTAGCCATCATGATTTGGAGAGCCAGTAAAAAAAGATCCATTTATATTATGATTAGTCGAACAGTCAGCCAGATGTTTACATTAGATATGGCATTTTGGTCCACCTATTGAGTTGTTCCCAAGGACCTGGGTTAGGTGTTTGGCGTTAAAGGTACTATCATAACATATAAGCTGTTCCAAGTAATGCTGCCTTTGCAATTGACTGATGGTGAATTTGTCAATACAAAGGATGTTCAAATCATTCTCCAGTTAGGCACTCAAGGTGCCCATTACTATCACCAACACCATCATCATACCCCATTCCTGATGGGCTAGATCAGGTACAACAAAGTCAAAAGATAATAAAATTAAATACAAATTGTTACAATAATATCAATAATTATCTACACGGTATCATGGGTTGCAGTAAAACTCACTTAACTATAGAATGTGTCCTGGAATGCAACTCGGTTACAAAATGCCAGGAAAGTGAAAGCCATTCACAGCTCCATGGGAAAGGTATTCTATAAAATAGCAGCTGTCACTGAAGTGGTCTGATACTTGGTCACATACTACATATTACTCAAGAAGAAAGACCTGCAACAGAATCCCCTCATGGCAATCAGTCCAAACAATTTTAGCCAGTTGCTGATTGATTTATGGATGTCTCCAGCCTCACCTCCAAAACAACAGGCTCTCCACTGATCAGTGCTCACAAGAAATTTAGAGGAAACCAGCTGGATAAAGTTGCTCTAGATCAATTTTCTCAAAGCATGCTCCGAGAACTCTCAAGAGTCCCTCAAGACTCTCAGGAGTCTGTGAAATCAAAATTATTTGATAGCTTATGTTGAAAATAATACAATATTAAAATCTCATCAAACAATTATGAGAAGCAGTAGCACCAGCAAACGCATCAAGGTTAATTGTTAATACTGTTAAGTATAACCCATACTAACAGAAGTAGTTAGTATCTCCTACCAAAAGGTAGAAGAGTCCTGAGAGAAAAACGTCTAAGAAATACTTTTCTAAACTTGTAATTGCCTCCGTTTTCCTCTCCAGCCCTCACATCCAATCATTCTCCCTGCGTCATCCACCAATGCTCATCATGAAATCCCGCCACCATTTCCGGCTACCGTCCTGATCCCCTTCTATCCCAGCATATAGTCAGCTTTATTTAACGATGCCCACTCTGTCACTGTCCGCCAGAGACTTCCATCCCTCTGTTTTCCCCCCAGTGTGAAAGCCCAAGCCACTCTCCCACTCCATTCATTCTCACGAACACCTTCTCTCCCACCTGAGCATTATTTCTTTTTCCCATGTTACAGTCCCCAGACTCCCACCACTTCTCCACGTGAAATGATTCTGGACTCCTGACTTCCCAGACCTCAGAATTTGCCTCTTGATTGTAAATGGACGGAGACGGCTGGCATCAATTACCCTCTGCACACGCTCAGAGGCATAGTAACTCTCAAGAAGAGCTTAACTCACCGGCGAACCTCGGCGCGCTCGGCATTAAGGAGAAGGCCGCTGAGACAGTGCCAGAACGGGAAACGCGTGAGCAGTACCGACCCGATCCGCATCAGCAGCCGCAGCACACCCCGCCGCCTCCCGCTACCCGCCGCCATCTTGCGATAGGGCGGAATTACTGGCGTATCCCGTTCCTACCAGAAGGTCCTCCTTGATCGTTAGAGCATCGCTTAAAGTCCCTGTACAAAACTTTCCCTACAGGAACTGATGCCACAGTTCAAAGGTTCCCCTTTTCCTGCTATAAACATTAAAAGTCGTTCGCTTAGATTTTGTGATTGCCGCTTCACCTGTGTTATTTAATCTGCTTCTTCTGGGCAATTTAGAAACAGAAATATAACACAATAGTTCCGACTAGGAAAGCTTCCCTATTTTATTTTATTTCTGTCACCATCAGCGTTGTTCTCATCTCACCAACAACTTGTGATTTGCTGTAGTAGTGTATAAGTCTACAAAATTCTGGGGCTCTGCCTCGAAAAACTCGTGAGGCAATAGTGAAGACCGATGACATGAAAATGGATTAAAGAGAGGGAACGAATGTGAAATAAGGATTGTGACACGTTTTATAAAACTATAGGAGACTTCTGCACGAAGTGAAAGTTTGGGAATGCGTCCAGTTTGGTCTAGTGTTAAAACACCAGGCTATAGTTATATTCCCGGATTATGCATGAAAACTAGGTGACCTTGGGTCGGTTACTCTCAGTCCAACTCATCTCACAAGGTTGTTGTTGTGAGGAAAACAGGAGGAGAAAGGAATATTACGTACGTTCACCACCTTGAGATATTCATAAAAATAATAAATGGGGAGGGCAAAGAGAACAGGAGGGATGAATAACTTCAGAGACAATTATGGGCGAACATCCCAATAAGACTGTGATTAAAACATGAATTTCTCTTCAGATTTAAGACAAAAACAAATCATAGAGACAACCATGGAGCACAGTTCCCAAAACTATGTTTTCTCAATTGGTTAGTGTGGGTTGCTTACTATACTTGCTCAGCTTGAGCTAATTTATATCAATAAATGGTGATGTTCAGTTCGCATAAAAGTAAACATTAAGCATAGATTATGAGTTTTACTTGCAGGAACATTTAACATTTTAGGATCTTTAAGTTAGAATTTATTTCATTTATGTCTTACACTGAATATTCTGCTCTGTTGCCTAAGTAGAATATCAAATTAAAAGCTCTAACTCAGAGTATGAGGATTGCATACAGCAAAGGTTCTCAAGCGTTTTGGTTTCAGGACCCTTTTATATTCTTAAAAATCAGAATCTCAAAAAGCTTTGTTTAGGTGGGTTATAGCTATTGATAATTTATGAATTAAAACTAAGACATTTAAAAATACTTGTCTTTGTGGACCCATGAAAGACTCTGAACTCCCAGAGTTTGCAGGCCACACTTTGAGAACCATTGGTATAGAAAAGCTAATCATCATAAAACAGGAACCAAATTGTCCATTTTAATTCCAAGGGCCAATTATTATATTTGACAGCCTTCCCATTTTGCAATCTTCCAGAAATGCTGGAGTATAATTTGCATGTTTTCCAATCAGCAAGTATATTGTCTGCATTGACAGGAAATTAGAAGAACCATTAACTGCTACAGTTGGAGAGAAGAGTTAGATTTCATTCTTTTTTCCTTTCTTTAATTTGAGTTGATCATCTACATTTGCCACAAAATATTCCATATGGTATTCATTTGGGTTAATAAACTCATAAATAATAAATGAAAATTAAGGCCACACACAGAAAGTAAAATGCAGATCATGTAATAATGTAATGTTCACATTCCAGATCAATTCTGTAAATTACTTACACATTATGTTTGCCATTTCCTGATATCACCCCAGATTAAATTATCTTGTGGAACTATTCAAAATAAATGATAAGATTTCCAAAGACTCTGTATTTTTATCTTCTTCCAATAAACAGATAAGAAAAGGAATTCAAAATGCTTTCAAACAAGGCATCTGCATTATTTATATTGATGTATCTCACAAAAGCCAAAGAAAAGTCATGCAGTTAAGGATCAACATCCGCCACATACAGTTTCAAGGTCCTGTAGTGATTTAAGCTACTTTTTGCAGTAGGCTAAAGGAGGAAAAACCATCTTAAATGTTCTAGGAATTTTCCGAACATCTGTTAAAAGATCTGAGAAACTCCAGAGAGGCAAATAAACCCTCTGTCCTCAGGATTTCAAAACAAAATCATGGGAATCTTTAAAAAAACAAATTCAGAGAGAAGGTTGTAAATTTACTAGATTTATTATTCCAGGAAACTCTAGCTTCATTGAACTTGGTATGCATATCAATAAGGTGACCAACCGTCCTCCTTTAGGGAGGACTGTCCTCCTTTTGTGAGTGCTGTCCTCCCTCGAAAAGTGTCCTCCTACATGTCCTCCTTTTCGATATTTGAAGACTAATCTGCAGGGCTTTTTTTTCTCATAAAACACTCAGAATGGCGTTCCGGCACCTTTTTTTGATATATTTTTTTCAACTTTTGCATGAGCTATGCTACTCCCCCTATTGGCTTTCGAAAGCCAATAGGAATTGCTGCTGAGCACACCAAAACACCCAGTTGGCAAACTTTGCACATATAAGTTGTCTGCAGCGAAGGCGAATTGGCAGGAACTTTGCATCCCTCCCTGCTACCCAACTACACCATCTCCTAGTTAGTCCCGAAGATACCTGGAGGAGACTCGAGAGGCAATGCCACAGTAACTTTTTCTTGATCTTTGGCCCTGCTAGGGCAATAATGGCTGTGGACGCAAGAGTCAGGGGCGTCGGGTGTTATGTCCCGAGCCTTGCAAACGGGCTCGGGGCGTTTGCAGGCAGTCCCGGGCAGGTGCAAGCTGCCCGGGACCAGACAGGCTGTCGCCAGCGCCTGTGCGCATGCGCGGGTGCTGGCGCGGGAAAAGTATCACATTGACCCGGGAATTGCCTATATAAGAGGCTGGGAGGTTTTGGGCGTTGCTGAAGCCTTCACCTGTAAGCTGAACACAGAATAAAAGAAAACCTGAGAACTACAACTGTTTCTCGTGTCTGCTTTTCGCCAAGGACTCAACACTGGCGACGAGGATAGGATGCCTTACATCGCCTGGAAAGGAAGAGGTGTAAGCTTACCCAAGTGAGTCCTGAGCAGTGGAACGGCGTTGACTCGGCAGCTACCCGCCAATCCAGTGCACATTCGGGGGTAGGCTGGCTGATAGACCCGTCTCCTGAAAATGGCAAAAGTCGGAAGGCTTTCGGAATTCGACGTCTCACATCCAGAGCGGTGGGAGTCCTACGTAGCCAGGGTGGAAAATTACCTCAAGGTAAACCAAGTGAGGGAAGATAGCTTGAAGGCTGCCACCCTGCTTTGTGTCTGCGGTCAAGACGCCTTCGAAATCGCAGAGAACCTTGCAGCACCTGTCCCATTAGAGTCTGTCAGCTACGCAGATCTAAAGAAGCTATTGAAGGAGCACTTCCAGCCCAAGATGTCCGTCATCGCATGGCGCCACACCTTCGAGCAGAGGGATCAACGATCCGGAGAGTCGGCCAAAGAATACATCGCCGCATTGAGGAAGGCCGCCAAGCACTGCGAGTTCAAGGACCTCGAAGAACGACTGAGGGACCGATTCGTGTGCGGCTTAAGGCATCGAGATCTACAACAGAGGCTTTTCGCCAAAGAAGACTTGTCCTTCCAAGATGCCTTAAGAGAGGTCACTGCAGAAGAAGCAGCAGGCGGCGCCGTCAAAAACATGCGGCCGATCAGGAACAGTCCAGATGTTGCATCCGTGCACCAAGAGGACGTCCAAGGGAACTCCGAGGAGGATCCGGACGAGGAAGTCGACCGTCTCCACCCCACGAAGGAAGGGAATCAGAAAGGAAGCTCTGCAGCTCCCCTCAAGTGCATCGGCTGTGGAGGTCGCCACAGGAGAACCGACTGCAAGTTCCGCTCCGCTATCTGCCGGGCGTGCGGGAAACAAGGACATATTGCAGCTGTGTGTCTGGGCCGACGAAAGGTACAACCTCAGGAAGAACTGCACCTGAAAGGTACCAGGGTCCCCAGCCAGAATAGGGTAGGTTTTTGCGCTTCGCGAAGAAGCATCTTCAGGACAGGCACACACAAGCCCATCAAGAAAAAGCTGTCACTCAAGGTGAAGCTACAAGGGACTATGGAACTAGACACGGGGTCTGCCCTTTCAATCATATCCTTACATACATTAACTATGGAACTAGACACGGGGTCTGCCCTTTCAATCATATCCTTACATACATTTAGGAAGATTTGTTCCGGCAGTGGAACTCAGGCTAAATTAAGGCCTTCTGACATTGTGTTAACAGACTTTCAAAATTCGAGAGTGTGTGTTAAGGGGGAGGCCACCCTTAACGTACAGTATAAGAATTTTGAAGGTCCACTAGACATATTAGTAGTAGGGGGTGAACGAACGAGTCTCATAGGACTCGATTGGTTTGAAGCCTTGGGGATACACGTCACGGGGCTCAACAGCTTACAAACACTCGACCTACAGGAAGTCTGCAAAGAATTTGCAGATGTCTTCAGCCCCCAGCTGGGCACATTCAAGGGACCCCCTGTGTCCTTAAAACTAGACCCCACTGTCACTCCCATTAGAATTAAAGCAAGAAGGGTCCCTTTTGCTTTAAAGAGTAAAATTGACACTGAGTTAGACAAACTGATCCAACAGGGAATCCTAGAACCTGTTGATTCCAGCCCTTGGGAGACCCCCATTGTCACGCCTCTAAAGGCAAATGGGGACATTCGCATTTGTGCTGACTACAAATGCACTCTTAATAAGGCATTGCAGCAACATGCCTATCCTGTTCCTGTGGTCAGTCATATTCTGGCCTCCCTCAAGGGGGGGCGCGTTTTTGCAAAGCTTGACCTAGCTCAAGCGTATCAACAGCTGCCTGTTGATGATGATGCTGCTATAGCTCAGACTATTGTGACCCACAGGGGAGCTTTTAAGGTAAAAAGGCTACAGTTTGGAGTGAATGTCGCTCCTGGGATTTTCCAAAGCGTAATGGAAAACACACTACGGGGCATACCGGGGGTTTGCCCCTACTTTGATGATGTCTTAATTGCAGGAGACTCCACACACATTCTAGCTGAAAGGCTAAGGGATGTTCTGTTAAGATTCAGGAAAACAAGCTCAAAAAAGACAAATGCAAAATTGGGGTGCCTTCTACTGAATTTCTGGGATTCAAAATTGATGCTGCTGGGATTCACCCTGCTGAATCCAAACTAACTGCCATTTTAGAAACATCTAGGCCAAAGTCTAAGGCTGAACTTCAGGCCTTTCTGGGCCTCCTGAATTTCTACAATTCCTTTCTTCCACATAAAGCTAGTGTAGCTGAGCCTCTTCACAGGCTATTAGACAAACAAGCAGTGTGGCAATGGTCACAAACACATGAGGCTAGTTTCAATGAGGTCAAGGCCTTACTCACTTCTAACAGTGTACTTGCACACTTCAATGAGTCCCTTCCTGTGTGCATCGCTTGTGATGCTTCCCCTTACGGGGTAGGAGCTGTCCTGAGCCACCTCAGGTCTGATGGAACTCAGGTTCCTGTTGCATATTACTCCAGAACACTGTCTTCTGCTGAGCGCAACTACGCTCAGATAGACAGGGAGGCTCTGGCTGTTGTTGCTGGAATTAAAAAATTCCATGATTTCTTGTATGGCAGGCATTTCACGGTCTTCACTGACCATAAGCCTCTGCTGGGACTGTTTACCACACGTAAACAAACTCCCCAAATCATTTCCCCTAGAATGCTTAGGTGGTCTATTTTTCTGTCTGCATATGATTTTTCCTTACTCCACAAGCCTGGGAAAGAAATGGGCCATGCTGATGGCCTCAGTAGATTGCCCCTGCCAGTAGTAGAAGCTGACCCTGCGCCAGCTGTCAACATTCTATCCATCCAAGCCTTGCCCGAGTCCCCTCTGAATGCCAGGGATGTCGCCGCTGAAACAGGCACAGATCACACACTTTCACGTGTCCTTTCTTGGGTTTTGTCTGGATGGCCTGAGCACTGCCCTAGTCCTGAGTTTCAGAGTTTCTGGTCCAAAAGGAACGAGTTGTCCACTTCTCAGGGTTGTCTGCTTTGGGGAAACAGAGTGTCATTCCCACCTCAATGAGGACTAGGATCTTAGAGTCCCTCCACGAGGGTCATCCTGGCATTGTTCGCATGAAGGCCCTTGCGCGCAGCCACTTGTGGTGGCCTGGTTTAGATAAGGACATTGAGGCTAAGGTGCATGCATGCCACCTGTGCCAGCGCTCTCGCCCAGAGATGCCCCAAGCTCCTGTGCATAGATGGGAGGATACACAGTCCCCATGGTCTAGGGTGCACATTGACTACGCTGGGCCCTTTCAGGGCCAGTTCTTCTTGGTCCTCGTTGACAGTCATTCAAAATGGCTTGAGGTTGTACCTGTCTCATCCACCACCACTGCAAAGACTATTCAGGTACTGAGGGGGATTTTTGCTGCACACGGGCTTCCAGATGTCATCGTGTCTGACAACGGCCCTCAATTTACTTCCTCCGAATTCCAAGCTTTCTTACAGGCTAACATGATTCGTCATGCCACGTCTGCACCCTTCCACCCGTCCACCAACGGTATGGCTGAACGCATGGTCCGCATCACAAAGGACGCCTTGAAAAGACTCACCTATGGGGACTGGCATCACAGGTTGGCTGACTTTCTCCTTTCTTACCGCACCACACCGTCCACTTCTACAGGGAGAAGCCCAGCTGAACTTCGCTGGGGGCGTAAACTTACTACAAAACGTGACTGGTTGCATCCGGACAGACTGCCTTCATCTACCTCACATCCTCGGGCACCTAGACAATTACTTGTGGGTGCCCCAGTTTGGACTCGCAATTACGGGCCTGGTCATACATGGGTCCCCGCTTCTATTTCCAGGGTCACAGGTCCTCTATCCTACGAGGTAGCCCTGGACAACGGTCGTGTCCTGCGTCGGCACATCGACCAATTCCGCCCTAGGCGGGATCTTCCAGATGAGACCCCTGGGTCTTTTCCAGGGGGAGAGGGGGACCCTTTAGAGCAAAGGGAGGGGCACGAGCTGCTGCCCACCTCCAATGATGGAGCCACAAACGGCCCATTCCAAGATTCCGCGAGTGCCCCAAACAGGAATTCTAAGAGCCTATCCAACTACCAGGCATTCATGCCTACTCCAGCCAGGGAGTCACCCCGGGGGTACAATCACTATTCACCTGCACAGCACAGTACTCCAGTCAGGGAGGATACCCGGGAACATCCCAATAAATCATACCCCGCAAGAGAGCTGGCACATAATCCCCAGAGTTGGCCTGACCTTACCCCAAGTCCTACAGGGGGTCAAACATACAGGGACGTGGTCGAGGAACCAAGTCCCGACCGCAACACCTCTAGCCCAAATCAGGGAGTAACTTGAGTTTTGGGAAGGTACAGAAACCCACACGAGCCTGGACACAGAACGGGGTTTGGGGAATGGACAGCCTCCTGACAGGTCTTGGACGGACCTAGGAGGTTCTACAGAGACGCCCAGCAGTGGCTATCACTTCAAGGGGCCCGAGGGCCTACAGCTAGGCAGGTCAACCAGGTCACAAAGTGACAGAAGCCCTGGCCTGACGAGCCCGGTGGGCGAGCGAGCAGGCCAGGCATTGGGGCACAGTCCTTGGAAGGCACCAAGGCATGATAAGGAGAACAGGCTCACGTCTCCCCTCAGTCAGGGAACACCTGTCAGAAACCCAGAGCTGAGGTCACAGAGATCAAGGAAATCTCCTAAATACTTAGAGGATTACATAACATTGCTGGCCAAACAAAAGCCAGTAAACAGTAGAAGCACTGGGGAGTAGAACATTGCATCAAGAAATAATTGTATGTTGGTAGTAGTCTTAGCCCGGGGGAAAGGGGTTTTATGTCCCGAACCTTGCAAACGGGCTCGGGGCGTTTGCAGGCAGTCCCGGGCAGGTGCAAGCTGCCAGGGACCAGACAGGCTGTCACCAGCGCCTGTGCACATGCGCGGGTGCTGGCACGGGAAAAGTATCACATTGACCCGGGAATTGCCTATATAAGAGGCTGGGAGGTTTTGGGCGTTGCTGAAGCCTTCACCTGTAAGCTGAACACAGAATAAAAGAAAACCTGAGAACTACAACTGCTTCTTGTGTCTGCTTTTCGCCAAGGACTCAACATCGGGGCTGCTGTGGGCAGGGGTGTGAGGGGTGGCAGTGGCCGGCTGCCCCCCGTGCTGTGGGAGCTGCGGGGCCTGCTCTCTACATAGGGCTGCGCAGGGTGGGCAGTGGTGCTGGCGGGGCGGCTGCAGGTGGGGTGTGCTGATGGCGGGCTGCCCCCGGGGCTGGAGCCGGCACAGCTGGTGCTTTGGGAGCCACAGGGCTCACTCTACACGACGGGGCAGCAGTGCTGGCGGGGCGGCTGCGGGCGGGGGCGCAGCATGTAAGCATAATTACAATATAAAATGTTACTGTTACAAATGTTTTTATTATGCATTTATCATATTATAGTGTATTCTGTATTATTGTTGCAATGAATAAAATGTTTCTTTTATTTACAATATTTTTTTCTTCAATTTATTTGTGTCCTCCTTTTCATTGTAAAAAAGTTGGTCACCTTAACACCAATTAACATGCAGGACAGAAATCTCTTTAAAAACTTTATTCTACAGAAGAGGGCACTTGTGATTAAAGTTTTCAAAAGATTTGTTGTAAGGCATTGGATTTTAAAGGGTTATAATCAGAAAAATCATGACTCCATTAATAATTACAGTTTCATTGGCAAACAGTTAAAATATATTCCAAAGGTGCCGGGCACTATTGATCAAAAAATGGGCACTATTGTTGCTAGGGAAATATGAACTGATTGATGGATGGTCCATCCATTACTAGCATAGGTAATGGCTACCTCATTCCATTCTATGAGGGAAATTTCTAAGGTTTTCTACAGTCCAAACTTGTATTGCTTGTAATTTTAATTTGATAAGATATGCTATTTTCATAACAGTTCCTTTGGTTTAATTTTACATCCCTCTCCCCATTCTTTCAGATTCAGGATTCCTCTAAAGCCCAGAAACATTCCATATTATTGGAAGACTTTAGCTAGACTTGGAGTTCTGCAAATAATATCCTTCCTGATAAGGAAAGAGTGAAAAGAAAATTTCAGAAATCTTGAAAAAAATAACCCAAATAAAGGTTTCAGATAACTAATGTAAAGGAATTTTTAAACATGACTAAAGCACATAAATGAGAAAATTCTGTAACTGATTATATTGTTGGCTGGAAATGTTTAATTACCTCCTAAGCCCCATTTTTTTTTGCTATATAAGACAATTTAGTATCAATATTTTGTTTTATGTGATGGCAACCATATTTATAGTTAGCAATATTTGCTGAAATCAAATAGGTTTCTGTTTGTTTCAATGCACTAATTAGTGACCTCTTGGCCAATGCAAATAAGCTGTTCTGAGTTCCAGTAAGACAAAAAAAATCAAATATTAGCTCTGTATACATTCTATATCCTGTTGCTCACAATAAGTGCTATAAAACAAGTTTACCTAAATTCCTGTGAGCTATGAGAGAAAAATAACAGCTGTAGGTCATAGGTTCTCTGGGCCAAAAAGATGTTCCCCTCCAATTAGAAATGTGTGTCTTGAATCACAACTGCAGAAACAATATATATACCAATATAGTCCTAAATTCTAGGGCTTTCAGATCTTTGCATGCCAGAGGATGGGGTGGAGAGAAATCTGCATGACAATGTGGGGCTGATAGTTGTGAAAATCTATCTCCTTGTCACCTTGTTTACAGTAACAAAACAACTTTTTCCCATTTTCCACACTTCCTTGGATTTTGTGAAACCAGGCAGATTAGTCCATCTTTATTCTGAGGTCAAACTGACTCTTAGATGGAAAAATTATTTATGTCCAGGGATATCCTGTCTTCCCATGGTTTTCCCTGTCCCAGGTTCGCATAAGAATATTGGTGTGCATAATAATTAGAGAGAAAACAAGATAGAATATACATTTTCCAAATACATTGAATCTAACTATATGCTGGAAATTTGAAATAATTAAATTGAGCTTTAGCTCTAGTTCATAGATGACATAGAAATAAGGAAAATTAAAAGAATCATTTCATGTACCATTATGGCCATCAAATAATTTAAATAATGGAAGCAAAACAATTCAAATAACAGTTTTAGCCTAAACATACATAAACCAAATTGCATGGACAGAGAGCAAATACAGGTTATCCAGAGCAGCCAACATAAGTGAAAACAAGTTGCCATTAAAAAAAATCAGATCTGAATATTCAGCTGTATGCACACAAAAAAATAAGTTATAGTCAATTGAACACATCATCTTGAATTCTTACAAGAAATTTGACTAATGGTAGTTTTTTGGGACAAAAGTCCTGGAAATGTTCAGAGAGCCTACAATAACCTTTCACTTAAAGAGTCTGCATGTTTCTTGATAGAGACTGGAATTTGTATCCTTGCAGAATTATTCAGAATTATTCTTCCCAAGTCTGCCTATTCCACACTTGTTCTTGGCTGACACAAGTGTTCAAGCAGGAAGCAAGCAGAGAGCATTCTTGACCACTTTCACATCAACAGTAGTTTAGTACATAATCTTTCTGAGCTTGATATTTATAAAAAGGCATCATTTTCCCCACATTACTGATCAAATTCATTCATTTTACATTGTCATGATATACTGTAGTTTGTTTAGTTTTGGCTTTGCGTTTTTTATACCCCAGTCACTGTGATTAGTAATTCATTCTCCACTTATAGTTTATATAAATCATGGTTAAATAAAGCATGGATTAGCACATAACATCAAGCATCAGATGAGCAGGAGGGCATCAATATTAATATGTCTTGGAAATCATTAGACAAAGATGGAAGTGCTAGAACAGAAATGTAAAGCAAATTCAAGAAAATAAATTTGCAGGGAGGGCTCAAGAAAATCTAGTTGCATGTGAGGCTTACATACTTCCTGTCTCAGTGGATATTCTGCATGAATTAACCATTCGGAACAATAAGACAATACCTAGGGCCCACATTATTTTTTTTAAAAAAGAAAAATAATAGTAAAATTAAAATATTATATTCTAAAATTAATTTAAGTCATTATTACTATGATAGCCATAGCAATAGTACTTAGACATATACCACTTCATAGTGCTTTACAGCCCTCCAGTTTACAGAGTCAACATATTGCCCCCAACATTTACCAACCTTGGAAGGATGGAAGGATGAGTCAACCTTGAATCAGTCAGGATTGAACTGCCGAATTAGCAGAATTACCCTGCAATACTGCATTCTAACCACTGCACCACCATAGCTCAGGCACTATGATCCTTATTTACTTACTCACTTACCTTATAAGACTTATGGTGGCCACTATCTTATATAGCACAATTCTGGATTATTCACAACAAATAATAAAAACAGAAGAGTGCCCTTTAAATCAAAACCTAATATCTCAACCACTCTCTCCAGTGCATCTATAATCCCCAGTGTTCAATCTCATCCTATCCCAAAAGTTTGTGGGGAGAACCAGCTCTTTAGGGCTATTGAGAAGGCTAAAAGATTGGGGGATTGTTGGATCCCAGGAGGGAAGGATGTTCCCCAGGGCAGAGGCTGCTATGGAAAAGGCATGCTTGTCTACCTCTCACTAGAGGGCAAGCAGAGTGGGCAGTAATGTTAAATCTAAATAACAGGAACAACAACAGCATTTGAAGGAAAGGACCTTCCCTGTATGACTTAGCATTACATGAAGCAGCAGTGAATTTTCTTTTTCTGAGCTGTTAGTGATGATAAACTGGAGTTAGTACTTCTGAAGCTAGATCGCAGGAGCCTGATCTAGATAAAATTTTCTCTTGACTCGGATCAATTATGTTATAGATCAGTGGTTCTCAACCTGTGGGTCGGGACCCCATTTGGGGTCGAATGACTATTTCACAGGGGTCACCAAACCACACTGTCCGCCATTTTTTTCCCTTTTCCCTAGCTGTCCTACTCCCTCTTATTGGTGGCCACACCCACTTGGGGGTCACCACAACATGGGGAACTGTATTATGGGGTCACGGCATTAGAAAGGTTGAGAACCACTGTTATAGATAGTACTCCTTTCTGTTGGAATGTGGCTACACAGGCTAAGCTGCAGCAATTGTTTTATGGTTCTTGCAGGACATTAAAAACTTAACTTCTTTGCTAACTCTTCTCTCTTGAGCACTTGGCATCATGATGGGTAAGCCTCTCTCTCTGTTGCATATATTATTTATCCTCTGCAAAAGAATAGAACAATCAATCATCCAGCTGCCAAGAAATTATTTTGAGTTTGGAGTATATATATTCCATCTCTCCCAAGCAAGGGAAAAACTCTATTTAAAACTAGAAAGACCTTGCCTTTCCTTGTTTAGGTTTTGTTTAGTTATTTTTGAACCAAGATATCCCTTAAAATAAAAAGGCAAATATACAAAGCACTTTACAATTTTTATCTTATTTGTCCTCACAACATCCCTGTGAGGTAGGTTGCCCCTCCTTGAGAAAAAGCCTGAAAAAATTGCCCCACATTCATTTAAGGAGTCTCTGACTAAGTCAGGATTTGAACCCAAATCCAAACTTTGCTCTCAAAGTGGCAGACCCCACTGCCTTTCTTCCAAGGTTTCTGATTTTGCTTCCAAGAGCCAAGGCGACATTCTATATTGGTAACCGAGAAAAAAACCTCCCTTTTTATGACCCTTTAATCCCTTAATTCAGGGTGGAGTCAGGGCAACTGGATGGAGCTAAGCATTTACTGTCCGGATGATTTTCTTGATGCCATGCAGAATTCACAGCAGATTTTTTATATATATATACAGATACATACATACAACTTGCCCCTATGTGATTTGTCCATTCTACTGTTATCTAGTATGTGCAGCTTTTCCCATAAGGCTGGACACCTCCCAGATCTGGCAGGTAGGCAGCATTTTCATCCAAGTGGGACAGAGGCACTGTGTCTTCCTCGCTGACATGCCACTCCAATTCAACCTTCAGAGATGGACGCTGATTGTCAGGAAAAGCAAGGGAGAACAGCACTTCAGGCTCACAGACAAACTTGTACACGTAACGCTCACCCGCCACCTATGTCACAGGAGGGAGAAAAACACAAGCACTATAGTAGTTGTTCTTGGCAAGTCTTTTCCCCACTCCCCCCCCCTGCACACAGATGTCCCCAGAAGTGATAAGTATCCTATGTTGCTTCTTTGTTCAACCTCTATTGTGCCATTTCCCAGAAGCTTAATTTGGTTTCATAGCAATCCAGGTGTTTTCCAAAACAGTGGCCTGAAATCCTGGGAAGAAATACACATTAAAATATGTGGGTTTTTTTTTAACTTTAACTTTCTATATGAATTTTAATATTCATTTTATAGGACTTGTAAGTCATTCCAGTCAATTTTTTCCCAACTCTGAAACTTTGATTAAAACAGAAGAAAAACACTGAAACTATTTATGTTCTTAAAATAACATATAAGAATTGTGAATACACAGTCACTTCAATTAAAATCAAAATATGCATGTATTGGAGGTTTTAACATACTAGGCATAAAGCCAACTGGATTACCTCACTCCAGTCACACTCTCTCAGCTCTAGGAAGAAAGCAATGGCAAACCAGTGTCAGAAAAACTGTAGCAACTTGTACTGGAAATTCTAAAAATCAACACTGACTCAAAGATGCATGCGTATTGAATATAATATAATATAATATAATATAATATAATATAATATAATATAATATAATATAATTACTGTCAGCATTTGTAATAATTAAAGAAACAATCAAGATGGGAAGATCTCAACCAAATTTTTTTTAAGGCAGATTTATAACCCTCATCAAAAAGTTTTATTTTTTTAATGGAACAAAATTCAAGAGCATCAAGTGCTCAACAAGATTATTAAAACAAACACCCCAATATAAAAAAGGGCAATGCTTCATTATATCTTCCTGTACTCTTGAGACAATTATTCTGTTTTGATTGAGCCCCAGTTCATGGTGCTATTTGAGACAGATATCTTGACCTTGCTACACACCTTGCTACACACTAGCCTAATTGTTACTAAAGTGTTAGAATTTTGCACTTCCAGTGGCTCTTCCCTTCAAATTACAAAGCTTATGCCAAAATGTAAAATGTAAAATGTGCCATTCTCACTTTCTCTTATATTTTTAATCCAACTAATAATCAATGTTATTCTCTTGGCACAAAATACATAGCCCTACCAAAATATTGAATAAAAACAGTAAATAGATGCTTAACCTAAGATCATCTGTGTTCCAAATGCCCCAGATATTGTTAGAAATTGTTAATGAGAGATTAACAATTCTGTCAGCTCTTTATCAGATGACTGCCCACTTTCCCAAATTTAAATGGTGTGTGCCAAGCAATCAAACTTCAGACCAACCTTTTGCATAATGCCTTTTTCATAATAGTAGCGAAGAGAGCGACTCAACTTATCATAGTTCATAGCTGGACGATTCTTCTGAATGCCCCAAAGTCGTGCCACCTGCAGGACCAATTCAGAGTGAGGAAATCAGATTTACATGTGAAGCAGTTGGGACCAGGTCTTGGAGAGACAAACTAAAAGTTTATATTCACAGTCAGGCACTTTCTCTTAAAAAATCCAAATGACAATTGATAGACAATCCTGTGCACATTTCTTCCAATATATCCACTTTTTATATACTTTCCCAAATATTAGCACTTTTGTCTATGGAGATTCTTAATCATCCAGGTCATGGTTATCCCAAAGATGTTTTTTTCCAAAAGCCAACTGGATTTTCTTGGTGTTTTCTTTGAAAACATTTTGCTTCTCATCCAAGAAGCTTCTCCAATATAATGATTTTTGGCTATGTACTTGTGATCCCATATAAAGACTTGATTTGCGAACTGAAGTTACAGTTTGAGAAAATATAGGTTCATTGGTTTATAACTGGCTTCGTATTTATATATACATTTAGGAAGAACATTTGCACTAAAGGGTTAAGAAAAAAATCTACTTTTTTTTAGTACAGAAGGCTCCCCTTTTCAACAATGGAAAGTGCATTTTTGTGGTGTTCTGAAGCTGGTTTTGTTCAATTATTACAAAATTAGATATGTGCAACTTTTTCTGAGGCTATAGCCCATATGTGGCCATTGACCACCTACTGGGCATTCTTTTTTAAAGGCAAGGTAGGGCCTGGATAAAGAAATAAGTTGGCCAACACAAAAGCTCCATTTAACTTATGGATTATCAATATAAATTGAGAATGCTGATTGATATTGCAATCAGCAAATAAAATTGTACTCTTTTTCCATAGCAGTATAATTTGACAATTTTAGGAGGACGCTCAATATTCCAATATAAGATATGGTTTTAACTAGGTTCCTGTAATCCAGAATCAATGAAGGGTAATATAAGATGGTTTTCAGTTAAAAGAAGTAACAGAAAATCTCACCTCTTCTGGTTCAATGAGTTTGAATTCCATCCCTCGACCAGTCCAGGCAATAAAATGAGAGTTGCTTGGATCATCCAGCAAAGTCACTAGGAACTGCCAAAGCTGCAGAGATCCACGCCGTTGATACGGCGGGCCCTCACGGTATCCACTTCCTTCTTGCTTAATATCCCCTATCAAGGACAACATATACAATACAATAAAAGGGAAGAAAAAATGATTTTAAAAAGTCTGAATTTTTGGGAGAAAGTTCATGGGAACAACCCATGCCAGATCTTGAAATCAAACTTCTATACTTTGCTTCCCCTACAGGCAAAAGACAGAGGGACTCTACTGTATCTACCAGCTTTCTCCAGCCTCTTGCTCTCCAGGAATACTGAGAGATGACAATTCCCAGATTTCCTAACAAATCTGGGCAGAGGATGGCTGGAAATTTGGAAATTAAAATTCCAGGTCATTTGGGAAGGCTGCTATATTTCAAAATATTTCTCCTTATCACACCATCTATGAGGAAACTCAGATGGGATTACAAATAGGTATGTTGATAAAGATATAGAGGCACTGAGAAGCAAGAGGGAAATATCAGCAAATGTGTGAATTCCAAAGTTTTCAGAGATACAAAATTAAACGTGGATTCTACATTTGATATTTAGAAGTCTAAATTTTATGCTTCTCAAGTAGTAGGCAAAAGTAGATTTCATCTTGGATATCCACTCTCTGGAAGGCGAGAACATAATCCAAATATCTACCTATAAAATATCACAGACCACATATTCCCTGGGACTAATATGTGGATATTCTGTTCAAGTTCAGATTTAAAAGACAACTTTGCTAACTTAATACCAACCAAATATATAAAGCATGAGGTAAGTTGAAGGACAGCACCTGTAAACTTTGCAGAATTGGAGTGGTCTATTATAAGTGGAGGAATAATGTTTCAGGTGATTGTTCTCAACCTTTTCTTCACCACAAACTCCCTTTAAATATCTTTTGTGGCCACGAACCATGGAACAGATCCCCAAGACTTAACTTAAGATTTAAATCATAACATTTCTTCAAGCCTTCATGGACTCTCTGCAATTGACATTGTGGATCCCCAGGGATCTGCGGACCACAGGCTGAGAACCACTGGCTTAAGGGAATACTACATTTATGAAAGATGTACTCTTAGTTCAAATATTCATCTGGAAGATTTGGTAGCTTGAGTATTAAGGGAACTAAAGCAAATGCTCTTGTCTCTGACCTTCAAACCTCTCAGGAACAACACAAGCATCTTCTGCAAATGGTCGCATTTGCCTCTCATAACCATAGCCTGCAAAAAAAAAAAAAAAAACCAAACGACAACAGGTAAATATCAAGAATCTTATCTGCATTTCTACTAGATATATGTAAGTCATTAACATTCGGAAATGAACTACCAAAACTCTTGCCAGGATTGATAGGACTGATCAAACAACAACTGCTGCTCCTTAGGTTTTCAATTAGCTAGATTTAGCCATGTGAGACTTTCTTATCATTGTGAAACCGTCCATTGTTAGCGGTATTAATTTTACTAATCATTCTCCCAGAAGTTAAGATAGCTGTATATTCAGTAGTAGGTATGATTTTTTTCATTGTTTAGTTGTGAGTGGAGAGGGGGGGGGGAGTAATACTTTATAGATACTATGACTGAAACCAGACTGGGGAGAATTTTCTCTTTCCTGAAAAGTATAAATCTGCCTCTTATAAAACACATCCCAAGTCCATCTTGATATTGTTCATTCTAACTAGCAATAAGTCAATAAGCAACGAACAACAACTCAATATGTCTTCAAGAATAAATGTTTACCTACAAGTCAGCATTGATGTTGAATGTAATATAATTGATGCAATCTTATTGTGTGAATATTTGAACCCTCTTGGATAAAGTCCAAAGGAAACCCAATGCTAAAAATAATGTAATCCATGTGCTCTTGTAACTGATTGTTTAGGTGCTTGCCTTGCATCCTAGAACTGAGTCCTAGGATCAGATGCAATTCGAACCCTGACTTTTTATGAACCCTTCAGGGTGAAATTTTTTTAGACTGACTTTGCCGCTGCTGTATCTTCTACTTGCTTGTTGTAGGGTAAAAGGAAGGCTTAAGCCCACCAAATCGCTTCTGCCTGCATTCCACAGATTTTTCTATGGGAACAATCAAAGTGGTATCTGCTAAGAATTTTGGAAAACTTCTGTACACAGAGCATTTTTTTTATGAAAAATACTGGACTTTTTTCTGGGAAATGATACAAGGTAGAATTTGTCCCTACTAATTTCTGTCCAATCATGGATCCAAACCTATTCCCAGAACAATCCATGGAAAATTGGTTGCACTGTCAGCCAGATGTTTACACTGGATTTGGCATTTTTGTCCACTAATCAGGTCCTTCCTGAAGACTTGGGATAAGCAGATGCTGTTTATTATTATCAACATCTTAAAGAGAAAATTGTATGAAATCTACTAGAATCCGAAGATTATTTTTCTCACCTAATATCCCTTCAGAACTGGAACAATTTGGTAATCCTTCTGCATTCATATACATTGAATGGCAGCTTGCCACATCTGTAATTCAAACAGAAAAAGTACAGCATGGAATAAATAGATTTACTGGCTTTGTTTTATATGTATAGCTACTAAAGATTCCAGTGCTATCTTTGCATGCCATTTTGGGGAAACAAATGGGATATGAATTAAATCCAAAATCAATTAATTTGGGGGATTCTCTTGTTGGAGCATATACTCACTTCCATCCATACTTTTATACCCATTAAGACAATGGTGGCGAACCTATGGCACGGATGCCAGAGGCGGCACTCAGAGTCCTCTCTGTGGGCACGCGTGCTGTCGCCCCAGTCCTAGGCCTTCAGCTGGGTTTTATAAAACCTTTTCGCTTTAGGCCTCTGCTGCCGTGTGCAAAAAAAAAAAGGTTCAATCAGTCAATTTCAACTTCTCACGGGGGAAAAAAAAGATCTTGCAAAGTTGAAATTGATTGAACTTTTTAGTCCCACCCAGTCTGCCGTTACCACCGCAGCCAAGGCCAGCCAATGGGTTATGCCCAGCCAATGAGCCACACCCACCCAATGGGCCATACCCACCCAGCACCCGACGATGCATAAGCGGGTTTTGGGTTGCAGTTTGGGCACTCAGTCTCTAATAGATTCACCATCACTGCATTAAGATATTTAAGACCAATTTTGCTATGATTTTTCTGCAGGGACCCTTTTTTTTTTGCTCTAGCTTTTTATTTTGCAGGAATTGTTTGACATCTATCTGATTCTAATGAATGAATGAATAATATTACTGTAAGTTTAATAAAGCAAGTTTAAGTGGAGCTTTTACAGAAAAAGAGGAATATAAAAATGATTAAAATAAATTACAGTGTACATCGTGCCTCTCTTATAAAGATCTGGAGATCTTCTGATCTTTCAAGTGCCATTGAACCATTATTCTTAGAAACTCCACCTAAACTAGCCTGCTATAAGGGATGCTGGGAATTGCAATCTGTGAACATCTGGAGGGCCTTAGGTTATCAACACCTACAAAAACACCTTTCAATAGCCAAATCCATGACTCACTGGGCACTTTTATTCCCACCTAACAGTTTTATCTCCCCATCTACCCACATATAATTACACCCAGCAAAGAAAAATGAAAGCAAGTAAACATTTATTCAGTATTAATGGGTTAAATACTGAAAAGACAGCTATAATGGATAATGCAATCTTTTTTTTTTTTTTTAAATCACTGACACTTTAAGAAGTTTATAGCTGCGGAAAAAGCAAGTGAGGAAAGTCACTAATAGCTGTCCCCTGGGAAATGTGGAGTTGTAAAAAGGGCCAGGAAGGGTGTGCGTTTCTCCTGGATAGCCAAAGGCTTTCCTACTTCAAACGCCAGTTGGATGCTTTCCTCTCCCCTGCCCCCCCCCCCAGGTTTTCAGGTGTCATTTTCTATTCCTGCTCCCACTTTCTCTGGGCAGTGAGCCAAGCTTTGGCTTGTGTTACCAGCCTGCCTGCTGATTTCAGTTGCACCACCAGGAGAGCACGAGCAGTGAAACCCAACACTCCCTATCCGGAGCCCAGTTCCTGTGCATCCATTTTGTGAATGAAATTCCTTTCCATTCCAGCCAGCAACACAGACAGGCTCTGGGCCAAACCAGCAGGAAGGTAGAGACTCAAGGTTATGCAACGCCTTGGGGGACAGAATAGTTTTTCCTCTTTCTCGCCTAACATTTAAAGGTCAGGAAATCCATAAAAATTCCTCTTCTATAGGTAACTGTGGTATTAAAAGAAAAAAGTACGTACTTGAAGTTTAATGGGTATAAGGAAAAAAGGCAACTTAAAACATTTTAACATACAGAAGAATTTCTCATGAGCTAAAGAAGTGTTGGCATTTTTCTCCCTGCCAAGCCATAGCAAACTAATTAAATGGATTGGGCAGTTGCCACTGGAGGAAAGTAAGAGTGAAGATGCCCATGAATCAAGCTCAACTTCATACAGTTTTCTTGGCAACCTTGGATGAGATTTCCCAATGTAATCTTCTGGGGTTTTTTTTTTTTATACTGGCCAGTTATGCTACAGACCTGATGGTCCCCAACCAACTATAATCCAATTCAACCCTACTGAGCATATAAGATCAGCCAATGGAATTAAGGCTAGTCTCAACCTAGTGCTCTGCCCTCTGTACCACAATGGCAAGGGAACCTTAATACCAGAAACAAACACCCCTCTGCAGGATTTTTGTTCTTTTATTTATGTCTAGAACTTTTATAACAAAATCAAGTGTGTATGAAAGAGAATCTGAATATAATGTACAGTATATTGAAAATACATAAGAACAGTAATACTGTATGGAAGAAAGGGGTACTTTCCAGATAACTTCCAGATACACTGAATTAGGACTGTCCTCATCCCCTACCAGAATATGGGAGTGCTGGGAATTGTAAACCACTACATCTGGCATACATGAGGTTGGGGGAAGCTGGTTTAAACCCACAATTCCAGGGTTCCTGGATGGATGTATTATTGGGAAATATACTTACATACAGATATCAGTCTTATTCTGTGTGCTCAGTTTTGATATGTTCTATGTGCTCAATTTTGTGAAATTAACAAATGGCATATTTCAATAGCAACAAGGATGCAAGATTTTGGTAGGAGCAGTACTGCGGCCTCCCCACTTCTTTCTCTTTTTGGGGGGGGGGGGGTAGTATTACATGCAATGCCAAGTAAGCCCAAATGCTTCTATTGTTAATCAGCATAACTGGACCCAGAAAATTTCAGATTGTTTCTGTAGCAAGAAAAAGATAAACCAGGTCCAAAGAATTGACATTAGTCCTAAACACCTGCACACACATATATTTATAATACACTCCCACTTTCTTGCACTCTACCTGTGTCAAAAGCATAGTCCATCTGCTCCTGTTTTATCACCATGCCAGTTGCATACCGGGAACTGTCTATGTCTCCCAGTGTATTCACTTGTTCATACGTGGGGTCGTGGAATTCCTGCTTGAAGCCCTGAGAGGGATACGGCAGACATGGGGCAGACCATGGGCGCTGATAAATGGAAGGACTATCTGATACCAAGCCTTGAGGTGCAGAGAAGGACTGGCTGGCCTCAGCATGCAGCTGGTACAAGGAACTAGAAGGAATGCAGAAGAAATCATACAGTTGTACAAGCAGACAAATAAAGAACAGGCATTTAATAATCTGATCATCCCTTAAAGTACACAAAGAGCATGGGGACCCACCATTTCTTTGAATAGAGTCCAAGATTAGGAAATGGAACACTTATGCTCAACAAAGTTTATCAAAGCAAAAGTAAGCCATATAGTACGCTTTGGGTGTTTGAGCCAAACAATTCCCATCATCCCCTTTTCAACATGCCACTTGAGATGATGGGATCCTGTTGAACTATTAACCAGAGTAGCTTATTTGATACCCTCCACTGGACATGTTTAATTGGGTAAAGAGATAGCATATCATGTAAATTGTTCAATACAATTGAGATTGTTAGGTTCTTAGTTCTGTTTGAGCTAAACAAACTCCCCCCCCCCGTCAGCTGTGTCATCTGAATAATGTTAGTTTTTTTGTCTAGTAGCTGCTATGTAGGAAAATTCCTAGAGATGGAGGCTGTCAAAGTAAGGCTGCTGCAGGAGCTCCATTTCTCTATTTTGCTTCACTGTCACCATCTATTATATTTGAGACAAGGGTGGAACCAGGACAGGAAGAGTGGAAAGTGTCTCCATCCGTGGTAGAACCAGCTCCTCACTTGGATCACTGTGTATTTCATAAAGTTTAAAAAATGGCAAAGAGTGATGGTCTCCCAACCAAGTCTGTAGTAGCTTGAACTTCTATTTTAACAACCCACAGGACTGAGTATTTACAATGTATGCTGATTCAACCAATCCTGTTGTGCCCAACAAACACTACGCCACCAAAAAAGCAATGACATTTTAGCCTAACCCATGGTATGAACCCAGGCAGCAGCTTGAATATAATGCTTGAAAGGTGATTTTTGAGAGAGCAACAGAGTTCTTATAATGTACTAAGCTGCCCTTATCCTTTCAGGTAGAGTGAGAGATATTAGAAATTTTATCCACCTAGTGCACTGGCTTACCTGTGTTCCATACAGTATGCCTGGCCAGGGGCTGTCTGGAATGGGCCATGGTGGCTCACATTGTTTGAATCTTGCCTAGAGAAAAGTGCAAGCATCAGGTGCAGCAAGATATATCCCTCTCCCTCCTGCTGGTTTCCCCAGCAAAACCTGATGCATCATAATAGATAGGCCCTGAACAGGTTATTTATTCAGAAATCGACTCAGACCTGATTTTTATTTTGCAGTCAGACAAATGCACTAACACTGATAACCTATATTTTTCAGAGGGAACAGGGCTTTCTTTCTGGTTTCCCATCTTTCTTTCTATCCTTGCTACACATACTAAATTAGACTGAGGACTCCACATGATTCTTAAGCCACAGGCTGCCATGCTGATGCTTTTAAAGCAGAGCTGCACATGTGTGACTACTGAAAGCTTTGGATGTGGACACAACCATAGAGGAAGGAATCATATTCATACTATGAAATGTAAATTAAACCAAAATTGCCTTTCAATAACTTCTGATCTCACCTATTTTTAGAAACAGGCTTCTAATATGCAACTCATCAAAAGAACAAATTCAGCTCTTGGTCGCTCCTGCTTTAAAGGAGGTGAAACAGAAAAGAGAGCAGAGGAAATTGGATGGCACCATCTAAATATGATGAGGACTTCAGGAGGGGGCAAAACTGAAGGAGAGAAGTAAAAAGAGCTCTATAGGCAAGAACATATCAAGGAACAGGGATAGGAAGACAAGTGAGAGGGACTTAAGAGAGCTTGGAGGATAAATAAGGGCTAGAAGATGGCACTTGAATCCAAGACCCTGCATGTGGAAGTGGGGAGTGGAGGGAAGGAAAGGTGAGAGGAGAGGAGACACTGAAATGTGGCAAATAAAGGTTGAAAAACAGAAAGTTGCAAAAAGCAGGACAAGGAATGTCAAGATCATTGAGAAGAGTTTATGAATGGTGAGGCAGAAAGGGTTGGATATATATTTATTTTACAATGCCATGCATAAAGAAATACAGCACGACTCAGTGACAGATTTTTTCCTGGTTCATGGGAAATCTACACTAAAACTGCATACTTGGCCCAAAGGGCAAGTAGAGGATGTAATAATAATAGTAGTAAAGTTGGAAGGGACCTTGGAGGTCATCCAGTCCAACCCCCTGCTCGGGCAGGAAACCCTACACCATTTCGGACAAATGGCTGTCCAGTCTCTTCTTAAAAACTTCCAGTGTTGGAGTATTTACTGCTTCTGGAGGCAAGCTGTTCCACTGATTAATTGTTCTCACTGTCAGGAAGTTTCTCCTTAGTTCTAGGTTGCTTCTCTCCTTGATTAGTTTCCACCCGTTGCTTCTTGTCCTGCCTTCAGGTGCTTTGGAAAAATAGCTTAATTCCCTCTTCTTTATGGCAGCCCCTGAGATATTGGAATACTGCTATCATGTCCCCCCTTGTCCTTCTCTTCGTTAAACTAGACATACCCAATTCTCGCAACCGTTCCTTATATGTTTTAGCCTCCAGTCCCCTAATCATCTTTGTTGCTCTTCTCTGTACTCTTTCTAGAGTCTCAACATCTTTTTTACATCGTGGTGACCAAAACTGGATGCAGTATTCCAAGTGTGGCCTTACCAAGGCATTGAAGAGTGGTATTAATACTTCACGTGATCTTGATTCTATCCCTCTGTTAATGCAGCCTAGCACTGTGTTGGCCTTTTTGGCAGCTGCAGCACACTGCTGGCTCATATTTAAGTGATTGTCTACTAGGACTCCGAGGTCCCTCTCACAGTTACTACTATTGAGCATGGTGCCACCTATGCTGTACTTGTGCATTTGGTTTTTCTTGCCTAAATGTAGAACCTTGCTTTTTTTCACCATTGAATTTCATTTTGTTAGTTAGTGCCCAGTGTTCAAGTCTGTCCAGATACTTCTGTATCTTAAGCCTGTCTTCTGGAGTGTTGGCTATTCCTGCCAGCTTGGTGTCGTCTGCAAATTTGATGAGTTCCCCATCTTTCCCTTCATCCAACTCGTTGATGAAGATGTTGAAGAGTACTTACTGGGCCCAGAACAGAGCCCTGGGGTACCCCATTACACACTTCCCTCCATATAGATGCAGTGCCATTGAGGACCACTCGCTGAGTACGGCCAGTCAGCCAGCTACGGATCCATCTGGTGGTGGTTCTGTCTACCCCACATTTTTCTATCTTGTCAAGTAGTAGGTTGTGATCTACTTTATCAAATGCCTTACTGAAGTCCAAGTAAATTATGTCCACAGCATTCCTCTGATCCACTAATTTTGTCACTTGGTCAAAGAATGCAATAAGATTTGTCTGGCATGATCTATTTTTGACAAACCCATGTTGGCTTTTAGTAATGACTTTGTTTGCCTCTAGGTGTTCGTTGATTCGTTGTTTGATTATCTTTTCCAGGATCTTCCCAGGTATTGAGGTCAGGCTGATAGGTCTGTAATTTCATGGATCCATTTTTTTTCCTTTTTTGAGGATGGGAACTACATCAGCTCTTTTCCAGTCCTCTGGTAGTTCCCCTGTGTTCCAGGATCTTTGAAAAATATAGTTCAGTGGTTCCGATATCACATCTGCCAGTTCCTTGAGAACTCTGGGGTGTAATCCATCTGGTCCTGGCGATTTGAACTCATCTAGGCTGGACAGGTGCTCACTAACCATTTTCTTGCCTATCTTAATTTGTGTTTCTGTTTTTTTTTTTTATGGCACTATTTTTGATAGGTTGGTCTGTTTTTTCCCTTTGTGTAAAGACAGATGCAAAAAAATGAGTTAAATAGTTCTGCTTTCTCCCTGTTGCTTGTCACCTTCTTGCCACTTCCACCCACTAATGGACCAATCGTTTCGTTCACTTTTTTCTTGTTTTTTACATGTTGAAAGAAGCTTTTTTTGTTATTTTTGACTTTGGTCGCAAGCCTTAGTTCATTTTGAGCTTTGGCTTTCTTCACTTCATCTTTGCAGGCTCGGGCTATTTGCTGATATTCTGACTTAGTTATGTTCCCCTCTTTCCACTTTCTATACTTGTCCTTTTTATCTTTCAATTTGTCAGAGAGTTCTTGGAACAAAGAATGAACAAGGATTTTAAGATTGGAGAGATAATGTGAGAGGCTGAAGCAATCATTTCCACCCACCAGCATCTTAACACAAACATTAGAGATCATCCACTAATATTCCAAAGAGGAAACACTTGATTGGACAGGAACAACAACATTTGGGGCTGTTTTTCAAATTTTATTTATTTATTTTAGGCATCTCCACTATCATACACAACACTGAGATACTGCCTGGTACTTAATAAGGAGTATGACCTTTGAAGATTTACCCTACATCTGTTTCTTTTGCATTCCTACACAGAAGATTTATCCAAATAAATGTTTAACCAAATTAAATAAATACCTAACAACTGTGTTTTAAGCTAGGCTTAATACCTTGGTCATGCTTTTTAAAGGTTTGTGTCAATCTATTTTGGTGGCTTATTGTGTTTTCCAGTCCAGTTGATAATTTATGATTCAATATGGCAAACAAATTCAGAAAATGGGTTAATTTAGAAAACTGGTTAAGCATGTTGGATGAAATAGAGTTGTAAGGATGAGACTTGCTCATTTCTGGCTATGGGTTCTCATATACTTATACTCCCTGAATCTGGAAAGCTCCATCTAAAGTTTTGGTCCAGCTGGATCAAAAACAGAGAATCAACCAAAAAAGAAGGCCTTGCAGTGGATAAATCAAAGTGTGAATCAGGCAGGTGTGGATCCTGGAGAATTTGTCACAATCGACAACAAAACAGTTGGTGTTGAGGATTCTTGGGCCACAATTAATCAGGGTCCCTCTATTCTTCCAGCCCGATGTTATCATATGTTAACTTCTCTGGTTTTCTTGCTGAATGAAGGCAACTAGCATTTAACATTATTTGCCTATTATTTTCATAGAATCATAACATTGGAATGCATCTTGGAGTTCATCTAGCCATCTCCTATGCTCAATGCAACATCACTGCCAGATGGACATTTGACCTCTGCTTCAATACTTCTAAGCCGAAGAATGTTCGTCACCTCTCTTAGGCAGTTTTGTTTTCTCTACTGGTTAGCTCATGCTTCTCCCAACAGTGTGTCAAGATTCCCAGTTCCCATCCCCTGTACCCCTTCTGGCAGCAGATAATTTTGCTCTATCATTTAAAACTCTCAGGATAAAATGAGTCATTATCATATGTCTTTTTCAATCATCTCTCCAAATTAAACTTATTCAATGATTTCAGCAGTAACTCCCCATCTGCATAGATTTGTATGTGCTTTTTAAAAAGTGTTCAGAATTGAACATATGCTCCAGAGGCAGTCTGTCCAGTTTAGAATAAAAATGCAAATTAAAACTCTGCAGGTTGTGAAAATGATGAAGGGCTTCAGACCTTGCATAAACTCCTAGCACCACTACATAATGATTCTTGTTCAAGATTCCATGCAATCCAGAAAAAAGAATTTAAGAATCACAAATCACTGATGCCTTAAAATTAATGGTGGTTTTTTTTTCAGGTCCATACAGATGTTTGAGAAAATTCAGGATGTTTTAATTATTAGTCAAGAGGTGCTATGCATTTGTGAGGTCCAAAGCACTTCTTTTGAATTGGTTCTAAAACATGCGGAGTCTTTATGCATTCTATTCTAATCAACCTGCAAACTGAAGAATAAAAGATTGTGTACTGTCAGCCAAGAACTGATAGCAAATACTACCTATAACATGTCCAAGAGCCCTTCTTCGTTAATTTTTTACAGCAGAAGCTTGATATCTAACTTCACTTAGTCCCTTTGACACTTCTCATTTCATCCCCCCAAACACAATTTTAATAGTTTTATTTTACTTTTCTGAATTGCCAAACATCCAATTCGTTACTTTTACACCACTGATCCCTTTTCAATAACTGTATTTATATGAGCAGAGTTAATTTGATGGCTAATGGATAAATTCCTATATTTAGGTGATACTGATACTCTCTGGTGGGAGGGCGGGATAGACTTGATATTGACTATTTGTTAAGCAATCAGCACTCCCAACATATTAAGTTGTCAATCAGTATGGACACCAGGTTTTTCTTAGTTTCAAAATATGCAAGATAGTGGTGAGTTATTGGATAATACAGTGTTGTAAGGCTTGGTGTTTGGCTACAGTTGACTTATGCATGCTTTGGCCTTTTTCTCAAACTTGCTTGAACCAGCCATATCTGCAGGGAACTTCTACTTAGCTTTCTTGGCAATTCCTAACAGAAGACAAATACTCATGACTGCAGGAACACAAGGTGATCAGGATAGCATTTGCTCACTAGCGGCATTACCTGGCATATAAGCATTGCTCCCTGGGTTGGTAATGAAAAGGCTGTCTGTGTCTGCAGGAACTGGAAGCATCCACACATGGGCTTTGTGGTTCCTTTTTTATCTTAGCTGGAGGACTGTGAAGGGCTACTGGGTGGGGGGGGAAAAGGAGAGTAAGGACATCAGGATACTCATCAGCCTGAGTTTGCATCAGCCAAGCAAAACAAGGGGACAAGGACTTCCCTCCCCTCCCAATCCCAAAGAGGCAACTGGGAACTAGATGTTCCCTCTGATTTGAAAAGGGGGGAGAAAAGAGATGTTTTAACCTGCATCGGAATTATATTTGCAGAGCCTAGCTACAAAGGAATCTGAGATAGGACTTTGTACAAGAGGACATTTTTAGCATACAAAAGTGCCAGATTTAAACTTCTTGCTTGAGAATTCATAAATTGATTATGAAAATAGCCTAAGAGTCAAGTTCCAGCCCAGATAGGCAATAGTTTGCTAAAATTATCCTATATGAAATAAGGCAGTTTCTATATTTCATGCAGCTCCATCCCTCTGTTTCAACAATTATTTAGATTAGATCATCTCAGTTCCATCTGAGAAAATCCTTGGAATGTTGTGCTTATTCATTAAATTTAGATTTACAACCTGACCTTTCAAAAGGAGCTGCACACAGCTATCTGTCTTCCAATTTTTGCCCACAGAATTAACCCTGTAAAGGACAAGTTATGAGATGGTGAATGACTGAGAATCATCTAACAAACTTTGATGCCTCTTTCTTCTAATGCTCACTTTGGTTGGATGCATATTGAGTCAGCCATTAGGTTCTCTTCCGTGAATGTCTATGATGTTCTAGAAGTTTCTATGAGAAACTATGAGAGGAATATTCTTTTCTATGATTTTTAGATATTTTTGTCATTTACTTCCTATCAAGAACATTTTAATCAAGGAAGAATCACCATATCATAGAAATCCATTTCTCTTTTAAGCACAAGTTAAATAAAAAAGGGGATGGGTTCATGGTCTTCATCTTGATTATTTTTCTTCCTCCCTTGCCTTGCCTATACCTACATCTCCTCAAAATTAGAACATTTCTTTAATTTAATAAAAAAAAATAGCAGAATCTGCCCAGATCTTGGATTGAGGCAGCTGAAATTTCATAAGATCTGGGTGATTTTGTGAGTGTGGTTGGCCTTTCGAACCAGATTATGTAATGGCATCTAAAGGCCTGCAAAGATGACTAACTGCTGCCATAATGTGTTTAGTTTGTATTTGATTGGATTTGTATCATTACAATTTGATAGTTAAAAATTCTGCTTAGATTCCTATGTTCATAAAACCCTTAGACTATACTCATTGAACTGAATCATAATTTACAGGTAGTCAGTCACACCTAATTGCAGTCACATATTCCCAAATCAGGATCCAATCTAATCTACAAATGTAAGAAATGCTTTTAAATAAAATTAGGATTATGGCATCATGGCATTACTAGCAATAATAGTACTGCAGATACAACAAAAGAGAACAGTAACCTAAGCCTAATATGGAATGCAGGCCTAGGGCCACAAAGGGTTTGCAGTGAAAATATGCTAGGCTAGAGGTAAGGGAGAGTCAGTTTGGGGCAGTGATTTAGGCATCAGGCTAGGAGGCCATGAGTTCTAGGCCTGCCATGAACCATGAAGCCAGTGCGGGGATCTTGAGCCCGTCACTCTCTCTCAGTCCAAGAAAGCCTCAATGGCAAACCACTTCCTGCAGTTGCCAAGACAACTACAGGAACATGCTAGAGAAGAAGGTAAAGATGAATTAACAGAATATAGGGAAATGTACAGGGGAAAAAGTTCACTGAAGATATTCATGTACTTTCCACTGAATTAATAATGAAGAAAAATAGGAGTCATCTTTTTAATTACATCCCATATTTTCTGGTTTTGGGAATAAAAATTTTCTTAAGAGAATTTTGTTGTTCATGAATGTTGTTCATAATATAACCTTAAATTTCCAAAACCAAAAGGACTAGAAATGTTCATTTTGATTTATAATTGCAAAGGAAGGATATCTAGGCAGAAAGAGGTCCCTTAGAAGAATAAACACTGACCTCCAGCTTTTTAAAAATGATTATATTATTGAGTTTGCAAGTAAATAATGTTCAGGATATAAAAACTATCCTGTAAGGGAAATTGGTGACAATGAATGGCCTCTACCTAAGGTTTGTTATCTCCCAAAGGGCAGAATATAGAAAGGACATTTATTTTGTGTTTCACTCCTACTGAAAACAATACAAGAAAAATAAATTATGCCAGTATCGCTTTTGTTTCATGTTTTAGACATGTAGAGAAATTTCTGTGCCCAGATTCCATGCTGTGCTCCAAAATATTCCCATAACATCCCCTTCCTAGATGGCTAGATCCATTAATGGAGCAATTTGAAATAAGAAATCAGAGGCTTTTAGCTATGGAGTGTGGCCCCTCAAGAGAAGTCTTAAGGACCCTCCCTATTTTCAATAACTGAATGTCAAACATTAACAAGTTATCTGACAGGTTACAAAACTTCCAACTATCACAAATATGCTTCCAAAAACAAAATTTTAAAATAAAATATTCAGCAGGAACAAATCAAGAGTAAAACTATCAAAATGAGCAATGTTCAACAAGTAGATTAAGTAGAAGAAGTATCATGGGGAGAATTAAAAAATGTGGCCAGGATGATTTTTTTCAACCCTATTTAGCATCCAGAGAAGTAAACTCAACTCTGGCTATTTCAGCATGAAGGATCAGATGGTGGCATTTCAGACGTTGGGATCATGTTTGGGTACTTTTTATCTTCTTCCCCATCAAAGCATGACCTTCCCACCTCTCCATCTCCCCAGTTGCAAGACTCACAGTTCTCTGAATGGAAGTCAGGCACAAATTGCTCGTCACTGTCTGGAACCTGTGCTGCAAATTGTAATGGAGGAAGGTAAGTAATATTTGGCATCCTGCAAAAGGTTTGTTTAAAACACACATATGCACGCACAAATGAAAGAAAGAATAGTGGAGGAAAAATCCTGCCTTTGTATGAGATGGGAATAAATCACAGCCAAGAAACAGGAGGGAGTTTTTCTCTCGGGACTGCAACCTTGTCTGCGTAATCTCTCCCCCAGTAGAATTGCCATTAGCAAATGAGCAGACTTAGCTTTTTATTTCAAGAGTATTTTCCTCTTTTCATGGTGCAATAATGACCTCTTAACACTTAAGATCTAGTTAAAATAGGCACATCTATTGCACACCACAGCTCAAGAGAGATTCCCTAATTCCCTAGTCCTCATAAATCACACCAAATGATCTGAATCACAATGAAATCCTAACAAAGGAGGCTCAGAGAAGGATGACAGATTATGCAATACCAAAGAGATCAAAGGTTTTATTTTTCTTATTCATCCAAAGGACCATACATCCAGCTAAGCTGTTAAGTGACTTAATTGTGGTTTATTGGCAAAGACATAAAAGCAACATTCAGCATAACTATATGCTGAATGGATTATAAACCATGCCAATCAGAATCATACTGACCATTTTATAATTTAGCAATATCTATAGAATCAGCCAATTTGTATACCTAGAGTATTTATCATCATTATAACTCTTTTCTGGATACTTTTTCAGATCTGCCATTTTTCAGATCAGCAGCAAAACTATTATCTGTATGGAATGTGTTGGAACTATACTTACTTAATATTGATTGTACAGACATTTGTTAGAAAGGCAACCCATCAAGAAAAATTATAAAGTTAATCGCATATATTTACATTTTAAAGAAAATTCTACTGAACATACACAGACTTATTTCCAAATAAATATGCCAGTATGGTAGTAATTGCAAATATAAGTAGCTCAGAGAAAATTATTGTTTTCCTAATGTTCTCATCACTTTTGTTATCTTGCCTAGTAATAAAATGTTTGCAAGAAAAAAAACTGGCCAAGAAAACACACCAAGAACCCAATAAATATCTTATATCTTAAGAGTTGCATTAAATCAGTCATAGTGTACACAGACATAGAAACCAATTATCTTGAAGCAAAAAAATGAATTTTATTCCTATACTAACATTTTCCCTTTGCTTGAAAGAAAAATGCAATTCCATTTTCTTATCAGGGAATTTGTGATTTATAACTTCTTGTTTAGTCTTTTTGGACTAAGATCAACAGCAGCTGTTGACTTTCATTAAACATACTAACCATTTCCTCCTATTTAGATCAGCATAACTCTAGAGTTAACTCTACTGCATTTTTTTGCATAAATTTGATAAGTTAGCATGTATTCTTCCATTAGATATCAGCCCCTTTCCTGTAGGCGCAGAAAAAACTCTCAAGGACTGTGTCTTAATTTTTTTCCCTTAATAGATTTTTTAAGGATTTATTTAAAATGTATTACTTATGGTTACATGCAAAAATTTATACTTGGTCAATTTGCATGTACCAATAAATCTATAAGCAAACAAAAACTGACACAGTCTGCATATAAAGTTAAGCAATTAATCTTTCTGCAAATTTGGGTGCATGCTTATTTTTTATGTGCAGTTGTTTTGCATATTCAGAATAAATGAAGAATGAATACAGATGGGTGCAAAAGTTTGGACATCCTTCCAATCACTACATATTATATGCCTTTTGGCAAAAATAATGCTTGAAACATTTTCTTTAATCAGCTATAACTTTTTATTTTTGCTTCTCATCATTTTTTCCATTCTTCATTGCAAAACTCTTCTAGCTCAGAATCTGAAATCTCCTGCATGTCTGGGATCTCCACCCAAATAGATGATATAATAAGGCACACAAAAGAACTAAATATTTTGGTCTCGTAATAACAGAAACGTCATGAAAAGGATAATCTGAAATCTTTTTACAAGTAAATGGACAGGTGCATGTATGTGCCTTCTGGAGAAAGCTCTTAACGTTAGGAAAGGTGGAAGGAAACAGAGGAGGACAATCAATAGTAAGATGGATGACTCAGTTACAGTGGTGATGGATATATTATTGGAAGATCCAAAAATTCAAGTGAGGGGCAGATTATCATGGAGAAAATACATCTTTATGGTAGTCTGCTGGTTACTGGAATATTAAAATCAATTAATTGACTCAATGTTAATTAAATATTGAAACTTATTATTTCACTCTTTGTATAGTTTTATCACTCCCCAAAGCTCCAAACCACCACTACATATGTCCCCATGACAGTATAAAACATTTGGGAGTAAATCAGATCTGCAATTCAGTTTCCAGAGTTTATCTCACTGCATCAATCTTTCTTTGTCTGTTATTTATCCATACTAGAGAAAACATTCTGATGAATAAAAAAATTCCCATCAAGGGATTTTTGCTGTTTAGAAGTGCCAAAAAGCTAAACAGAGCAAAAATAAGTTTAAAACAATGTTTTAGTCTTGGATTCTTTCTTCATGGCTGGTGCAGAATGAATAAGTTGGAGAGAGAAAGCTCTCAGTCATTATGAGGAAAATCTAAACACTCATCTACTCCAACAACCTAATTGCCAGTATTAATCAATTTATTGTTTAAAGTGAAGAGTGAAATTAAAGATTATAGGATCAAATTAAAGCAATGTTTCTCAGCTTTGGCAGTTTGAAGATGTGTAGACTTTAACTCCCATAATTCCCCAGCCAGGGCAATATGGACCAAACCTATTACTGTATATATAACCCCATTCAGTGATGACAATGATTCCCAATTCTCAATATTATTTCAGGTTTAATAGTGACTTAGTCTTTTGATGTGACAGAATATATATAATATATTTGATTAGGTATGATTAATTAGCAACATATTAACTCCAGAACATTTTTTAATTCCAGTAAGAAATTTTCTGCAAGAAAACAATTAAGTTCAGACAGTACCAAGGACTCCACAGAATTAAGTGAGCATGGCATGTCACAAATGGCTCCCACTGTGAGCATGGCTGGGCACATGGGGTCTTAATGGGACCCATGTGGGACTCAGAAGCATATTTGGAAATCACGATGAAGCTAAAACCTGTTGCTTTGTAATATGACAGCTTTTCATTAAAAACAACCCTATGGAAAAAATAGTAAGCTAAATCAACAACCACATGCAGTGCTAATACTAGGGGTATAAAACATCTATCCAAAGCACTGCAGCTTACAACAGATTGTATGTATGTATATAAACATCTATCCAAAGCACTGCAGCTTACAACAGATTGTATGTATGTATATAAACATCTATCCAAAGCAATGCAGCTTATAACAGATTGTGTGTGTTTCTGTGTGTGTGTGTGTGTATATATATATATATATATATATATATATATATATATTTCACAGCATGGGGTCCTTGAAATAAATTACCATACCGCACCCATAATCTCAACCGATCTACTGTAATTTAACCCATAATGGATGTTGGGTAAAGCTGTATGTAACATTACTTTGAAACAATATGTTCTTTTTAAAAAAGAATAAACACTTGCTAAGATTTGCTTGCCCTTTAAATTCTCAATAGTCTCTGTCTGGCTGTCTCCCTCCTCCAGTCATTACACTCTCAGACTGTCTACTCTTTATTTCCTGCCGGCATAATATAAATAGAACCCTCAAATTTTCCAAGATGTTGGCACTTGCTAATGTCTTCCACATGGCACTAAGCTAAAAGTGATACACTTGCCCATTCCAACCTGGTTCTGAATTTTGTAGAGGAAAAATGGTTTCCTAGAAACTAAAGCAGCAGAAGGTTTGAAAGCCATAGCAAATGTGCCACAGGAGATCTGAATTGTGTCCATTAAGTAAGCCTTCCCAAAATAGCCATTTTGTTCCATTTTTATCTTGCCCTTGTTCCATTAACATCAGGGAATATTTCCTTTTAGATTTTATTCAACATCATTTCATCACCTTTTTTTCCCCTCATATCCTCCCCTCCCAGGAGTGGGGGATGGTTAAACTGAACTCTACAATTTCCATCTCATTCATAGTGGCTAGCAGGTAGGTAGCTATTAAGCTGAGGAAACAATACAGAAGAAAGGCCCAGCACTCCTGATTTTAACATCTCAGGAATCTCTCCTACCTCTGTTTGTCGACACTAGTGCTTATCTTGATTTTTAAAGTCAAGATATGGCTGCCCTACTTTTAACTAAATGGTGGGGGAGTGCTGGACTGAGACGGGGAGAACTGAGGTTCAAATCATGCCATCCTTCAGTTCATTAGCTGATCTTGGGTAAGATTTAAGAGACAGATGTTCTCAGCTACAACTCCCTTGGAAGTAGTGCCAATAGTGATGGATGCTGGGAGTATTCTAGTAGTTAGCAACATCTGGAGTGCCACAGTTACTTCCTACTGAAAATAACTATCCCTCAAGCTTCACAGAACAAAGAGAGGACTGAAATAAGTAAATTAACTCAGGAAGTTTATTTCCAATTTAACATTATGTGCGAACCTAGCTCCTGTGACTACACTATTGTTTAAAACTAATGCCTCAAAGAAAACTATGATGGCTTGGAGAAGGTGAATTAGATAAAAGTGTTCTAAATAAATGGAGGAAAAAATAGAAGTATTGCTCAAGTCTGAGTGAGGAAGCACAATTTAGAAGTTAAACAAATGGGAGGGGAGGGACTAAAAAGGAGAAAATAACAAAACAACAGTGAAATCACAGCCTTTTGTTACAGCCTTTAATGAAACAAAGGAGGTGGTAATAGACATTCTAATTAGGTTTTAATAGATGCTGGAAATTATTCAGGTTATACAAAAGATTGCCCACTAAACTGCCTAAGATGAAGCAGAAAATGATAATCTCTCTTTTGAAATTACACCATCCAATTGTTGCTCAGATGTGGCCCCCTCAGCAAAAGATTCTTTAGAAACACCTTGAAACTAAACATCATTATTCTTAATAAAAGAAAGGAGAAAAATATAGTTTACTAAATCCAAACTTTTCCT